TCTTCAATAGACAAAACATCTGGGAAGGTTAGTTGCCCTTTATTACTCTTATTTTTTAGAATATTCCTATTTTTGGTTCCTTATTTTTTCAGTGAAGTTTTTAATCATTTGTCTTTTTTCCCGCAAATTTAAATTGTATAATTTAAATATATTTAAGACACTCTTAAATATCCATTAATTTAGGGTAAATTGATACCTTGATGATATTGAGTTTTTTATTCAACGTCACTCAGCATGCCTTTCCATGTGTCCAGATTTTCTTGTGAGTGCCTTAGGAACCTTTTAAGATTTTCTGGTTTTCTTTGTATGGATTTTGCATACTTCCTTTGAGATGTAATCTGAAACATTTTGTGTCTTTTTTTTTTTTTTTTTTTTTTTTTGGAGAAAGTTTTTCTCTTTTTTCCCAGGCTGGAGTGCAATGGCGCGATCTCGGCTCACCACAACCTCCGCCTCCTGGGTTCAGGCAATTCTCCTGCCTCAGCCTCCTGAGTAGCTGGGATTACAGGCACGCGCCACCATGCCCAGCTAATTTTTTGTAGTTTTAGTAGAGACGGGGTTTCACCGTGTTGACCAGGATGGTCTTGATCTCTTGACCTCGTGATCCACCCGCCTTGGCCTCCCAAAGTGCTGGGATTACAGGCGTGAGCCACCGCGCCCGGCCTACATTTTGTGTCTTTATTAACATTGTGGGCCTCACAAATTCATATTTCAGGAAATGACTCTGCCACACGTTCAGTGCCTCCTTTTGCCTCTGGGATTAAATCTAAACTTCTTAGCCTCTCATTCAAAGCTTTCCACATCCTGTTTAAAACCTGCTTTCTCCTATAATCCCAGCACTTTGGGAGGCTGATCACGAGGTCAAGAGTTTGAGATCATCCTGGCCAATATGGTAAAACCTCATCGCTACTAAAAATACAGAAAATTAGCTGGGTATGGTGGTGCACACCTGTAGTCCCAACTACTTGGGAGGCTGAGGCAGGAGAATCGTTTGAACCCGGGAGGCAGAGGTTGCAGTGAGCCAATATCTTGCCACTTCACTCTAGCCTGGGTAACAAAGCAAGACTGTCTCAAAAAAATAAAATAAAATAAATAGAAAAAACAAAAACCTGCTTTTCTCTAACATGTAGCTATTCTCTAGCCCCTGAATAAGCTTTGGCCTTTTTTTTTTTTGAGATGAAGCTTCACTATTTTTGCCCAGACTAGAGTGCAATGGTACGATCTTGGCTCACTGCAACCTCTGCCTTCCAGGTTCAAGCGATTCTCCTGCCTCAGCCTCCCGAGGAGCTGGGATTGCAGAAGCCCACCATCCTGCCCTGCTAATTTTTGTATTTTTAGTAGAGACAGGGTTTCACCATGTTAGCCAGGCTGGTCTCGAACTCTTGACCTCAGGTGATCCAACTGCCTTGGCCTCCTAAAGTGCTGGGATTACAGGTGTGAGCCACCGTGCCTGGCCTAGCTTTGGCCTTTTATGCCTGTCTGCTTGGATTCATTCTGTCTCCCTGGTTCCCCTCCCCTTCTGACGATCCAGAGTGGCTTTCTTCACCAGGTCCCCCCCACTGGCCCAGAAATGACCTCTGTCTTCTTAGAACCCTCGAGCATTGACCATATGTGTCATGTATCTGATACAGAATTCAGTATTACTTTGTGATGGCTTTTGTTATGAAAGTGAACTGCCGCTTATTTCTTGTGTGCTTGCAAAAGTTAATTGTTGGTGGGTTTGAGTTTTGTTTCCTCGACTAGATCTTAAGGCCTTGGGGAGAGTGAGCTGCCTATGCCCCTGCAGCACCTAGGACAGGGCCTTGCACATAGTAATAGCAGTAGTAATAGTGACAATAACAATGAGAATTCACATGACAGCAAGTTTCTCTGTGCCAGCCCATTCCATGTATGAACTCACTTATTACTGGATAAATATATTTGAGGGTTTTAACGTCATGGGTGGTTTGACCTCAAACTAAACCTTTCAAGGGTTTTAGGTCAGCCAGTCCTGATACTCAGACAATATTCCTGGCTTAGAGCTGATCAGGTAGGAAGATGAGTTTTCTGGTGAAGCCCTAACACATAACAGGGAATGAGGATGGCCACAGTCTGGGAAGGCAAGGGAAAGAAAAAGGAACAGAGAGGCTTGATGGCAACAGAGGCTGTGAGCGGGTTCATGCTGGTGGATTCACCCCCTTTCCTGCACTGGCAGGGTTAGGGCTCTGGAAATAAGGTCTGGCTCCTGGCAGGGCTGTGCTGAGGCCTCTTTCCCATGGTAGGTCCCAGCAGGATGGCCTGGGTCCCCTGGGGACAGCAGGCCCAGTGCACAGCCACCTCTCCTCCTGTCTGCACTACCAGGGTTCCCAGCCCAGCTGGCTCCAGGCCACATGCCTCTCCTGCACTTGGAAGGCGCGGGATGAGCGTCTGGGCTGTGCGGGAGTGAATGTGCTGAGCATGCCAATGCCAGGCTGCTGGAGCCAGCCAGCTTGTGGAAATTACTCCCACCGTGGGGCCTCTTCTCTCCTTCCGATCATCATTAGGCTCTCGGAATCTTTCCCGTGCCTCAACACTGCAAAGTGTTTCGGGGTTCTGGGGATTCTGGGTGATTTCACTCCAGCCTTCAAATAAAAGGCAGGTGGGGGCCATCTGCTGGTACTCAAAACCTGTGGCTCCCAGGTTTGAGGGTGCAGGGGGTATCATTCATGTGATGAAAACTGGGGAGGTCTAAGGGTGCTTTATGATGCTTCTGCACCAATAAATGCACCAGCCCAGTGGCCTAGAATTAATCCATGTTCCCACCTAGAAGCACTCCCTTACCCTTTGCCAAGCACAAATAAATAGGTCTCAGCACCCATGTAATGAAATTTTTGCACTCTTAAAGATAGGAAAAGGAGGAAGGAATACTTTCACTTTGGGGGCACCTACCTCTAAAGGGTCTAACACTTTCACCCCCTTAGTCAGACGCTCCACATCTGACTTCAAGAGTTAGCTACTTAACGAACAGATCTGGTTTCTAGGGAAAGAACTGTGGGACTGTGGGTGGCTCTGTTGAATCTATATATGCCCCAGAATGAATGCAATTGCTTTCTGTCCAGTATGGCCTGAAACCCCCTGTAGTTACATCTTGTTGAAGCAGCGCTTGAAATCAGGAAAGCGGTTTAATTTGCTGCTGACAAAAGGGTAAGGGGAGTTTTCTCACTGAAACTTTGTGCAGAGGCCCAGAATAAATGAATGCCATTTAAATTTTATGTGAGTTTAGGATTCAGGCAGTCAGTAGTAGTACTTTTTCCTCTTCTTGGAAGTCTTATTTAGATGGCTGTCATCTAATTCTTCATGTGCAACTCAGCCCCTCACCATATTTATAATAGAGTCTGTCTGCCTCAAGGATAGGGACCATAGGTCTTGTCCTTGAGCTCCCCAGCTCCACCCAGGGCCTGGCACCTGATGGTTGAATGGTAAACATTTGCTCAGTGAGTACACAGATGAATCAAGGGTCTGAGTTCCTAACACCAAAATAGCCATGAAGCAGGAAGGCATCTGATGCGGCAAGCCTCGGAACTGCCAGGATTATACCCTTGAGGCAGAACTGGCTGAGCTCCTCTTTTTGTTGTTGTTGAATCAGATATTTAATAATTTGAAAAGCCAGCCCTTTTACAGTTGGGGCTCAGTTGAGCACATAGTTAGGGTGCTTGTGGACATCGCTCCTGGCTGGGCCCCTCCAGATCCGTCCTGGCTGTGATCCGCCGCCCGCCACATACCCTCCCAGGGGTCCTCCACAGCCCCCCGGGCGCAGCCTCACTGCCAAGTCAGCGCCTGCCCTGAATCTTCAAACCTAAGCACCCAGAGGCCGATTGCCACCAACTGTTCATCAATCCAGAGAGGGCTCACTCCTCTCTTCTCACCTTCATTTCTATCTTATTTGTTTTTCTTTTCTGCTACTTTTCTGTTTTTCTCCTTCTCTCCTCCCCTATCCTTTTTTTTTTCTGCCATCCCAGTCTTCTGTCCTCTCTCCAGCATCTTGTCTGAGCTTCCCCAGGTAATGCTGGTGCCTAACTTGGACAGCCCACCAGCATTATTTGTACAGGGGTGCTAAGAAGCACCCCACCTGAACTGGTACAGAATGGGCTGGGGCTTGGCTTGGGCTGATGCTGATTTAGGGTGGGGGTGTCATGTCACCTTCCCAGGGATGAGAAAGATAGCATCAAGTAATGGATAGCCTCTAGCCCAAGGCTTCATTATCCTTACCCCCACACAAATCATACATTCCGCATATCCTGTTCCCTGGCTCATCATTTTCCCCCAACGTACCAGGAACTCCCTGAGGGAAGGAAATTTGTTTTACCTCTGTGTGTCCTCAGGCCTAGCACAGCACTGCCACATAATAAGAACAGAATCAATGTTTGTACAGACAGCCACAGTACAGCTGTAGGATACTGATGGTGTGCCAGGTTCCAGGCCCTGAGAACAGAGAGGTGACCAAGACAGACTTCCCTGGGCTCAAGAAGCATCCAGAGAGAGAAGGAAATGTAAATGCAGGGACCAGGGCACTTGAGGGGAGATCCACCCCAAGCACTATTTACACAGGCTCTTAAAGGATGAGTGTGTGTTAGGTGAAGGAGGTGGGGCGGAGTGGAGGGGCTGAGAGAGAGCATTCTAGGCAGAGGAAATATTTGATGGGTGGATGGGTAATCCTGGCATTGAAACCTGAATTCAGTGGCACAGCAGTACAGGGTAGTCTGAGTGATGCAGGGAAACAGATGCTGAATTAGGGATGTCCTGACATGGTGCCTAGAATGTGGTGGCAGTGGGCGTGATCTCTTCATTGCCTCTGTTCTGATGGCATGTGGACTGGTATTGCTATGCCCTGATGGCAAATGCTCCCAGGAGGGGAGTGGAATGAATGTATCGCCTCCTCTGCCAAGCTTGGGGGGACCCTGGGCTTAAGGTAAAACCCCTTGGTCCCATGTCACATTGACCCTGCCAACCTCAGGCACCTCACCAAGGCTCTTCTCTCCACCTAGATGAGCGGGAAGTCGTTCAGAAAAAGACCTTCACAAAATGGGTGAACTCGCACCTGGCTCGAGTGTCCTGCCGCATCACCGACCTCTACAAGGACCTGCGGGATGGGCGCATGCTCATCAAGCTGCTGGAGGTGCTCTCTGGAGAGATGCTGGTAAAGCCCCTCCCAGGGGCCCCAGGGCTGCTGCCATCAGCCCCTCTTCAGTGAAGGCATGGTTTGGGTCATCTTGAGTTCTTATGGTCTTCACAGTTTTCTCTCTGCTCCTTTGGGAGGCTCTGATAGTTACAATGGGAAGCATCCATGTGGCTGACTGGGTTCTCTGAATTCTTCCCAGAACATCTTGCCTCCTCTGACCACTCTTGCCCCTTCATACTTCTCCCAGAAGCCATGCAGAGCTCCTGATGTTCACACTGGGCTCTGGGCTCTGTAGATGGCCTGCAATGGCCTGGACCTCAGTCTCCAAATTGGGCTAAGATGCATCCCTCTTGGAACCAAGAGGAAAGTGTGGAATCCATTTTGCTGTGTGTTTTACCAGCCTTGCAAGTGGAAATTTATTAGAGGCCATCTCAGTTGTAACCCACCAGCAATACTATTGGTCCCAAAGGAGAAGTAGATGAAGGTTTATATTTTGCTCGGCACAGAGGAAGCTTTGTGACCTTGGGCCTGTCAGGCAGGACACTCTTTTCCTCCCTTCCCCCCATGTGTAAAATGAGGGCAATGATACCTGTACCTGATGAAGTTTATTCTGAGATCCTCAGAGTTTGAATGAAATTCTAGTGGAATTTCAATGCAGGATAAGAGGCAGAACTTCAGCCTGGAGTTGAAAAGGCAACATTTCATTCAAGCCTTTTCATTAAATCTCTGAGAAGCTCAGAATAACTTCATTGGGTACCTTATCCTGCATTGAAATTCCACTAGAGGGCCAGGCACAGTGGCTCATGTCTATAATCCCAGCACTTTGGGAGGCCGAGGCAGGCAGATTACTGGAGCTCAGGAGTTCGAGACCAGTCTGGGCAACATGGTGAAACCCCATCTCTACTAAAATACAAAAATCAGCTGGGCATGGTGGCGTGCGCCTGTAATCCCAACTACTTGGGAGGCTGAGGCAGGAGGTTTCAGCGAGCCTCACTTGAACCCGGGAGGCAGAGGTTTCAGTGAGCCAAGATCGAGTCACTGCACTCCATTCTGGGCAACAGAGCAAGACTCCATCTCAAAAAAAAAAAGAAAAAAAAGTAATTCCACTAGAGAGAGTTGTCATGAGGAACCCATCAGATGATGCATTTATTATCAGGGGAGAGGAGGAGGTTGATTGGCAGGGATGAACCCATTATCAATCACCAAGCTAAAAGTCACTCTTATCACTGACTGGCAGTAAACAGTTCTTAGAATTGTGCCTTGCACATAGTAAATGATCAATTAACCTTATGTTATGTTATCATATGTGAATGCCATCTATCAGCCACTCAGAAGGCTTTGTTCAGCCCCGGAAGAGCACCAATGCAGCCTGGTTGCCTATCTCTGGGTGCTTGTTGGAGGGAACCTGAGCTTTGCTGAAAGGAAAGCATTGAATAGTGTCAAGGAATGACCATGGGACTCGGAGTTTGGCCAAGAGGGTGGAGGGTGGGTGCTTATGGCAGGAGCTGGTCCAGGCTGCAACCTCTGGGATGACTGTGCAGTCCCTCCATGTCCACGGGGGCTTTTGTCCCCCAGCCAAAGCCCACCAAGGGGAAGATGCGCATCCACTGCCTGGAGAACGTGGACAAGGCCCTCCAGTTCCTCAAGGAGCAGCGTGTGCACCTGGAGAACATGGGCTCCCATGACATTGTAGACGGTAACCACCGCCTGGTCCTGGGCCTCATCTGGACCATCATCCTCCGCTTCCAGGTGGGTTCCCGGAGAGCAGAGGAAGTCAAGGGAGCCTCTCAAGGCTGCCCAGGGCCTGGGAATCTTATAAAATTGTGAAAGAATATGGGTGTTAGTGCACATTCTGCGAGGTTGGAAATCTGTCCTATGGGACAGTGCTTATAGGAAGGAGTAACCGTCTCTGCATCAGCCTAAATCATTGAAGCTCAGGGAGCTTCTCACTCAGTATTTAGGTCTTTTCAGGGAGAAGATAGAAATTAATTGGTGGCTGGGTTGATATCTGGCTGGAAGATTAGCTTTGTAGCCTCTTCCCCCTAGACATGTAACTTCCTGGTTTTTGAAAAAATTCGATTCAGAAATTGCAAAAATTGTATAGATCTGTGTGTATATTTTCCAGTCAGAAACTTTTCTCTTCTCACCCTGAAATTCAAAGTCCAGATTATTTGTAAGGAAATTGAGAAAGGGGAAGCGGGAGAAAACAGGGCCTTGCATCTGCTGATTTGGGGATAGAAAGAATCTCACCCAAGGAGGTAAGGGCAGGAGAAAGAAGACAGCATACAACTCGCAGACTAAAGACCTCAACCAAATGGTCCTGGATGTCTGATCTCACTCCATGGGTGCAGAACATTAAATGACAATAGCAGCAGAGCTGGGGAGAATGGAAAAGCAAGAGGAGCTGCCAGTGAAAGTACAGTACTCGGCTGGGTGTGGTGGTTCACGCCTGTAATCCCAGCTCTTTGGGAGGCCGAGGAAGAGGGATCACGAGGTCAGGAGTTCAAGACCAGCCCGGCCAACATAGTGAAACCCCATCTCTACTAAAAATACAAAAAAAAAAAAAAAAAAATTAGCTGGGTGTGGTGGCAGGTGTCTGTAATCCCAGGTACTCAGGAGGCAGGAGAATCACTTGAACCTGGGAGGCAGAGGTTGCAGTAAGTCAAGATTGTGCCATTGCCCTCTAGCCAGGGTAACAGTGTGAGACTGTCTCAAAAAAAGAAAGAAAGTACAGTATTCACCAGCGTTCATGTTGTTCCACAGCCTCAAGGGGCATTGCACCTCCAGAGGAGGAATCGGGGCATTGCTGATTCTCTGCATTCTGTTAGAGTTATCCATTTACAGCTTTCTTGTCCCTGTACCGTTTTTGCGGACCCAGACAGGGAAACAGGCTACTGGGGCACAGGGCCTCAGAGTGTGGTGTTGCTGCAGGGCTGGCAGCTACAGCAGAGGGACGAGGGAGAGAGCCTCCCAGGGACAGAAGGAAGGCACAGATCTAGACGCAAATCCTCTTCAAATCTCTCTTGTTCTGCCGCCCTCAGATTCAGGACATTGTTGTCCAAACTCAGGAAGGTCGTGAAACACGCTCAGCCAAGGATGCGTTGCTGTTGTGGTGTCAGATGAAGACAGCAGGGTATGCCCTGGGAACCAGCCATTAGCATATCTCCCCCAGCCCCTTGCTTCTACCAGGACTGCCATCCCCAGAGGGACACTAGACATCATCACCCAGAACTACAACTGCTTCCCTGTAATTGATGCAAAGTCTGTCCAGACTTGATGCTTTGAGGCCTGGAATATAGGATTCTTTTCCAAAGTTGCCTGCAGGCAGACTGGGGGGTCCGTGTGGTGTTCACGTGTGATGGGGAAGCCTCTTTGTGTGGCTTAGCTGCTGGCCCCTTTTGCTGACCTGGCTCAAGAAGGGACAGTTCCATTTCTCTCCTGGCATATTGGCCTTCGTTTATACACTTATTTGGGACTACAAAAAACTCTAATTCTTAGCTCTTACTGTTTCTCTTGGATGCAGCTACCCTCATGTCAATGTCACCAACTTTACCTCCAGCTGGAAGGATGGCTTGGCCTTTAATGCCCTGATACACAAGCACCGGTAAGACGGCGGGGACAGCAGTGGGGACTGACTGAGACAGGCTCCCTGGGAATATTTGGACACATTGCACTTAACATGGAGTCACAAAAATGTGACCTCTACTCTTCCTTGTCCTCTCCCCTTCAGTACTCTATAGCATCCCCACTTTCCTTAAATCCCAGCGTGGCTGCCGCCCACTTCCTCATGTGCTGAGGTTCACATCTGCCCCCTCTCCTCTGCTCCTGTCTCCTGTTTCACTCCTCCTGCCTGACCGCCTCCCTGCCTCTGCACAGCATCTGCTGCATGCTAGGGCTGCCCTGCTGGCGGGGATGCTGTGGCTACTCCCTTTTCACAGTCCAGCTTCATCCCCAGGCCTGACCTGATCGACTTTGATAAGCTGAAGGACTCCAATGCCCGGCACAACCTGGAGCACGCATTCGACGTGGCCGAGCGCCAGCTGGGCATTATCCCACTCCTCGACCCCGAAGGTGAGCCACACCCACCCTTGACAGCCTTTGCTGCAGCGTTGAGGGGCACACTCGCTATGCTAGAGCTCCTCTAGTGCTAGAGGCTGGCCCTGGTGCCAGGCAAGCTGTGGGCACAGTGAGGGGCAGTGCCTGGGCCAGGCTTCGCTCTGGGCCTGCTTCTCTGCTCCATGTTGGTTCCCATGCCTGGCCTGTCTGGAGGTGGACTTTGGTTCCTTATTCTTTTCTTCTTTTGTAATTTGTGGCCCTAAATGGATTTCATCACCCGCTTCCATTCTTGCTCTGTTGGTTGTCACTTGGTGCCTGTAGTTGAACTTCATGCTGGAGGAATGGGGGACAATCTCTCTGAGCCTGACTTTTCTGGCTTCTAGTTTGGTGCTGATAGTACACCCTTTCCCCTAACAGATGTCTTTACGGAAAACCCTGATGAGAAGTCCATCATCACCTATGTGGTGGCATTTTACCACTACTTCTCCAAGATGAAGGTGCTGGCAGTGGAGGGCAAGCGTGTTGGCAAGGTACGAGCTGTTTTGGAACCAGAGTGTCACCCTTCCCCTGTTTGCCAGATGCAGACCGAGTGGCCCCCTTTCCAACCTAAGAAAGGGTGAAGAGCACGGCTCACCCACCCTCTAACTTCCTCTAAAGCTGATCTTTGCAGCACCTATGGCTCCTGGGCTAAATTCCAAAGCAGGCTGACAGTCTGTCCTGAAAGGTACTACAGCCAGCCGCTCCGTGCCTGGTGTCCACCTGGTCCACCTGAGGCCCACGTCTCATGGACATCCCCACAGGAACCGTCCAGGCTTTTATGTGGTTTGTTTATTGTGACTGCAGGCCTCTTAAGCACCCACAGTATACCAGAAACTCACCCATCGGTACAGACCCTCATGCCAGATTCCTTTCCTCTGCTAGATCCTTAGCTCCTAGGGGATAGGTACCATTTCCCATTTATCTCTGTGTGCCTCCTGATTAGTAAAGACAATGCCTGACTCCTCATGAACATTTAAAAATAAACAAAACCCTGGCCCCCTAGTGGCTGGTATCCTGGCACAGCAAGCTTACCAGTCTTCTCTAGCACTGGGGAGGGGAGCTGCTCCCGATCCCTAACAGGCCAGCTCCCTGCTGATTGGCAAGAGGAGGGCTTCGCCACTTCCGGTCCACTCCTTCTGTCCTACCAACAGCCTTGGGCTCAGGGAACAAACCCAGCCTAGAGCACTCCAGGGCTTAGGAGGAAGGAGCCCCATTTCAGGGCACCTTGATTGTGGTCCTCATTGGTATCCTCAGTGGTGGCATTGCCCTTCTGATGAGAATGAGTAAGAATGTGATTCCTTAGGTTATTGACCATGCCATCGAGACTGAGAAGATGATTGAAAAGTACAGCGGGCTAGCCTCGGACCTGCTCACCTGGATTGAGCAGACCATCACTGTTCTGAACAGCCGCAAGTTTGCCAACTCGCTGACGGGTGTCCAGCAGCAGCTGCAGGCCTTCAGCACCTATCGGACCGTGGAGAAGCCACCCAAGTAAGGGCCCTGGCACATGGGAGGGTGGTCCTTAGTGGCTGGGAAACTGACCACCAAAAAGTAGAGCCAGGCTCTGGGCCTTATGAAGTGTATCCACGCAGCACACCCTCAAGATTAGAGAGTTGTGCATGTGTCACCTGCTTCGTGCCCCTCTTCACCATTCTCCTCCCAAGCCATCAGCTTAGAGGAAACCAGCACTGATGAGAAACCTTGACTCACAGCCAAAGACAGTGGCTTCTCCCAGATCCCTGAAGAGGAGCAGGAGGGAAATCATAGGCTTCTGAGACTCTTTGAAGAACCCAGGCTGGAAGCCTCCTCTCTGGTCTGCCACTGAGCTGTGGGCTTGTTTTCTGATGATGACCTCTGAGCTCTCAGCCCCTGAGCTCTCTGCATGGGGCCTTATGGATCATCAAGTTCATCCTTCTTTTTCTTTCCCATTTGTCACGGCTCAGCAACAACGCACTTAGCCTGCTTCTCAGGATCTCTACCCCACCCTAGTGTGTGCAAGAGCCTGTGTACATATGCTTACACACATGTGCATACAACCATGCACACACATGCATACCTGCATACACACGACCATGCATACACACAACTGCGCACCCATGCACATGCATGCACACTCAACCATATACATACATGTGCACACACATGCAACTATACATGCATGTACAAACAACCATACATATACAACCATGCATTCATACACATAACTATACATGCATGTGTGTGCACACATATATGCACCCACAACCATATGTGCAAATGCACATACAACCATACATGTGCACATGCACACACATACAAACATGCACACATACACACAGGACATTCCAGCTCATCTGCCGTTAGCGTGTCCAGCTCCTCTGAAACAGGCTTATACCTCATTGGTGGGACCTTCTCCTCTGCTCCTCCCACCCATCTCTCGCACTCTCCATTCATGACTCTCCAACGGGGAACGGTGAAATGCTGAGTCTAGGATGTACTATAAACAAGTATCTGGTTTCTGGTCTGACACTATTCCACTTCTGAAGCCCTAAATCCAGTCCAGTTAGCATCCCCTATGAGTCTACCAGTCACTGCACACAGGGGTGTTATCTCTTGGCTGTGTAGACAATGCTTCGTAGCCACAGTTCTCTTAAGTGCCCGTGAACACTGAGATCCATTAGGCTGGGCTCAGGGTGGGGACCTTGTATGTAGCTGATCCTTGACTCCCAGATCAAGAATGCAGAAATGGGTGGACACTTGGGTACATGCAGAAATGCAGAAGTACCTGATACCTGGAGCTTGTACCCCACATGCTAGACACCTATACTGCTGTCAATTCTTGTCTCCTACACCTGCAATCCTCTCAGAGCCCAGCCTTTCCTGCCTTCTGGGAAGCATCTGGCCTGTAGGACTTGTGAGGAGATCTGGCTTATTAGGAGCGGGGTGAAAGCTGTTTTAAATGCAGTGTGCTCTCCCATGGAAAATGCTGCTTCTGGGGTTTTATTGACTCACTCCATAAGAAACTGACCAGAGAGGTAGTCAGAAGCCCTCATCACTTGCAGAACGGAGAAGGGTGTTTTTTTGTATTGATCAGTAAAACTTGATATTTACAGGAATTACCAGAATACCCCAGCTTCCCATATGGAAGCAAATGATCAATGCTGTGGTGGCCATTGTGTTTTCTCTGGTTTATGTTGTAAAGACCCAAATCCCTATTAGATCTCAGTTGGTGAGAAGGATAGATGTTTTAACAGGTAAGCAGACATGTAGATTCTCTTTAGTTTTTCTGTTTTTAGGGGAAATATGCTTTGCTATCTGAGTTTCAAGATGCCACAGTTCCATGCTGACTTCAGCCAAAAAATTTTGGCCATGAGATCATAACATCAATCTTCCTACCTCTGTTTTCTTGACAGGTTTCAGGAGAAGGGGAATCTGGAAGTTCTGCTTTTTACCATCCAGTCCCGGATGAGAGCCAACAATCAGAAAGTGTACACACCCCATGATGGGAAACTAGTGTCTGACATCAACAGGGTACAGCAGCATTTTCCATTATGCATTGACAGTGGATTGACTGAATTCCTGATAAGGACATAGTGAAGGGTCATTGGACCAGATTAAACCAAGCCACTTTCTTTGGTGTTATTAATCCACATGTTGACTAGTTGGGAGAGTTATCTGAATCCGATTCTAGGAAGTCGGACTCTACTCCCCCACCCTCCTTCAATCCCCCTGTTCAGATGTCTTGAGTCTCTGAGTCTTTTTTTTTTTTTTTTTTTTTTTTTTTTGAGAAAGGGTCTCACTCTGTCACCCATGTGGCAGTACAGTAGCACAATCACAGCTCACTTCAGCCTCGTCCTCCTAGGCTCAAGTGATCCTCCTACCTCAGCCTCAGTAGCTGGGACCACAGGTGTGCACCATCACACCTGGCTAATTTTTATATATTTTTTTCTTTTGTTTTTGAGACGGAGCCTCACTCTGTTGCCCAGGCTAGAGTGCAGTGGCGTGACCTCAGCTCACCTCAACCTCTTTCTCCCGAGTTCAGACCATCTCCTGCCTCAGCCTCCCGAGTAGCTGAAATTACAGGCATGCAACCACCATGCCTGGCTAATTTTTCTTGTATTTTTAGTAGAAATGGAGTTTTACCATGTTGGCCAGGCTGGTCTTGAACTCTTGACCTTGTGACCTGCCTACCTCAGCTTCCCAAAGTGCGGGGATTATAGGTGTGAGCCACCGTGCCAGCAATTTTTACATTTTTTATAGAGACAGAGCCTGGCGATGTTGCCTAGGCTGATTTTGAACTGGGCTCAAACAGTTCTCCCACCTTGGCCTCCCTAAGTGCTGAGATTACACATGTGAGCCTCTACACACCTACCCTCTGAGTTCATTTTTTTTTCTTGAGCCAGTTTTGAAGACTATCCTCTGTAGAACCTTGAGTTTGTTTTTGAAGATGGCATATTAACTACTTATAACCAAAGGGAAATGCCTATGACATTTCAGAGGCTTGGAGGCGTAACACCACCTGGCAGCTCATATTGAAAGGAGGTAACCATTAGTCATTAAGAACTTACTAAGCATCAGCGAGGTGAAAAACATTATTTTAGGCCAAGTGTCTGAGGCAGATTTAGGACAAGAGGGAAATGAGATGCATGAGCAGTGCTCTCTGAATCTTTGATGGGTCCAGAGATGAAAGTCAAAAGGCTTTTATAGATCTTTAATCTGTCACTCCATCACCCAAGGGCATCAGGCTCTACCTCAATTCCAGAAATCACTTGCTATTGAGTGAAAGGGGTGGAGCCCCCAAACTGAGGTGTTTCTCCTGTGCCCCAAGAATTCTCATTCCACCCTTTGTGCAGGCCTGGGAAAGCCTGGAGGAAGCAGAGTATCGGCGGGAGCTGGCCCTGAGAAATGAGCTCATTCGGCAGGAGAAGCTAGAGCAACTGGCCCGGCGCTTTGACCGGAAGGCCGCAATGAGAGAGACGTGGCTCAATGAAAACCAGCGTCTCGTGGCCCAGGTAATGAGGGACACACTTGGGGTGACAGGAGAGGGACCCTTCTTCAGAGCCCCCAGCTCCTGGCTAGGCTGGAGTCCCAGCTGGCTTCTCACAGCCTCTCCTCGTGCCTTGCAGCCCAGCTTCCCATGATCCGGTAGATCAAGATTTGCATCTGGGGAGGAGCTCTCCAGGATTTATGAAATCTCATTTTTAGGAAAGAGCCTTGGAGTCTAGAACTGGCCCCTGAAGTTGTCTTCTGCGGGCTTGTAGCATCAACTACAGCTGGGGTTTGAGTTGATGTTAAATTGTGGTTCTCTAGGGGTGTGGTGAAATCACAGACTGCCCCTTGTCTATGTCAGGCATGCCTTTTGGACTCTGGCCCCTGGTGCTATGACATAATTCTAGCTAAGAATTGACCCCAGGGCTGATTCTTCATCAGAGCATCTGTTCCCTCCCACTTAAAGCTTGGAATCAAATTAGATTCTGTCCAGAAAGGGGGCAGCGAGTATTCTGAGAGCACTGGAGAGTGTATGAGCACCCCAGATAGCATGTGGATAAACCATCTGTTTGCTGGCATGTGGTGTCCGAGTGAGAAGCAACCCCTTCTTGCCTAGAATCCAACAGGTCCACTCAAAGCAGGGTGGAGAGTGCCAGCACACTACCAAGGGGCTCCATTGGCAACACACAGGCATCTCCTACGCGGGTGGCACAGGAGTAAAATCATGAACTTCTCTTGGAGCCTCTTGTGAAACACTGATTTTTGGAACTTGGGTCTGATAAGACAGTTTGCAAAAGGAAGGCAGAACCAGCTCCTTCTTGGGAATGCGCTTTCCCATCTAGTGCTGGTTCTGAAGGGACCTGGCCTTTCCCTGCATTTGGGGATGAGCCCCAGGGTGTCTGACTGAGCTGCCTGTTTTTCTCCCTGTGGGGCAGGATAACTTCGGCTATGACCTGGCTGCCGTGGAGGCTGCCAAGAAGAAGCATGAGGCCATCGAGACTGACACGGCTGCCTACGAGGAGCGGGTGAGGGCCCTGGAGGACCTGGCGCAGGAGCTGGAGAAGGAGAACTACCATGACCAGAAGCGCATCACGGCCCGCAAGGACAACATCCTTCGCCTGTGGAGTTACCTGCAGGAGCTGCTGAGGTCCCGGCGCCAGAGGCTTGAAACCACCCTGGTGCTACAGAAACTTTTCCAGGACATGCTGCACAGCATCAACTGGATGGACGAGATCAAGGTGGACCCTGGGGGCTGCCCTCCCCCCTGTCCTGCAGCACTTGCCTGGGGTCTCAGTGGCCCTGCAGTTAGCATAGGCTTCCTTAGACACCTCCCAGCCAGTCACATCTCTGAGTCAAAAAGAAGAAACTGAGGCAACAGAGTGTCTAGCTGCACCTGCCTCTCTGCCTCTTGGCCCACTCTGCTCCAGCATGTGATACCAACTCAGGTCCATGGTGTCCTGGTGACCGAGAAATCTGGGGTTTGTGGCAGTACCGGTGCCAGCCTGCAGGACCTTGAGGAGACGGACATTAATCAGGAAGCTGGAGAATCAGGCTCTCAGTAATTACAACTGGCCTCTGGTTAGAATCCAGACCTCCCAGCCTAGGGGCCACCTCTCCTCTGTCTGCCGCAGTGGGTTTCAGCTCAGGACACACATCAGACTGCCCCTGGAGCTTTGTAAAAATATACTTGCCCAGGCCCCAACCCTGAGACTGATGCAGTAGATGAGTGTGAGTCTTGAGTGTCTGTAAGATGTTCCATGGGTGATGCTGATGGGCACCCCTAGTAGGCACTCCCTCTCTGTGGCTTCTTCCATCCCCAGCAGCAGCCCTTCTCTGGCTGCATTCTGCTCACCCAGGCACACACTCTTTGCAGGGGTCTTTTCTCCTTGTATGTAAGTCTCTTCACTTCTCATTTCCTGTATGCTGTTCTCTTTCCCAGGCTCACCTCTTGTCTGCCGAGTTTGGGAAGCACCTGTTGGAGGTTGAAGACCTGCTACAGAAGCACAAGTTGATGGAAGCTGACATCGCCATCCAAGGGGAGAAAGTGAAGGCCATCACCTCAGCCACCCTGAAGTTCACTGAGGGGAACGGTGAGGCCAAGGCTGTCTCCCCGGTTGAGGTTTCTGATGCCAGAGCCTCATCCTCTGGCCTAGCACCCCAAGTTGAATAAATCTCCTGGAACCACCTGTAAAGTTCTGCTTCTTTCATCAAGTAATGGGCCAAGAAAGAAGCCCTGGAACCACCAACCAGACAGTCTCTGTCCTTCGTTCTCCTTGCTAGTTCAAGTTCTGGCTGAGACAATCTAGGTTTCCAGATTCTTGTTTTAACTAAGAGACATCACTGCCTCTTTCAAGAATCACCTTGAAATTTTTTTTTTTAATTATTTTAAAAATCATAATTTTATGTTTTACATTTCTATTAAAAACTAACCCCACTTTTTATTTTATCTTCCTTAACCCTGAAGTTCAGTAGGAAATAATTATAAAGAATCTGCCCTCTGAGCAACTGGAATCCCCCTGCCGCAAACCCCAAAGCCCCAGGGAGATGGCAGCTTCAAGGATGTGTGGTTCTAACCTGGCAGCTTATCTGAAGCGTGCCCATAAAGGAAGCCTGTCCCTCACTTTTTCCTCCTTTCCCCTATTCCTTCCAGGATACCAGCCTTGTGACCCCCAGGTCATCCACGACCGCATCAGCCACCTGGAGCAGTGCTTCGGGGAGCTGAGCAACATGGCAGCTGGGCGAAAGGCCCAGCTGGAACAGTCCAAGCGACTCTGGAAGTTCTTCTGGGAGATGGATGAGGCTGAGAGTTGGATCAAGGAGAAGGAGCAGATCTATTCCTCCCTCGACTATGGCAAAGACCTGACCAGCGTGCTCATCTTGCAGCGTAAGCACAAGGCCTTTGAGGATGAGCTCCGTGGGCTGGATGCCCACCTGGACCACATCTTCCAGGAGGCTCATGGCATGGTTGCGCGCAAGCAGTTTGGGCACCCACAGATCGAGGCCCGCATCAAGGAGGTGTCGGCCCAGTGGGACCAGCTGAAGGAGCTGGCTGCCTTCCGCAAGAAGAACCTCCAGGATGCTGAGAACTTTTTCCAGTTCCAGGGTGATGCGGATGACCTGAAGGCTTGGCTGCAAGACGCCCACCGGCTGCTGTCTGGTGAAGATGTGGGGCAGGACGAAGGGGCCACGCGGGCCCTGGGGAAAAAGCACAAGGATTTCCTGGAGGAGCTGGAGGAGAGCCGTGGGGTGATGGAGCACCTGGAGAAGCAGGCCCAGGGCTTCCCTGAAGAGTTTCGAGATTCCCCAGATGTGACAAATCGGCTGCAGGTTCTGCGGGAGCTCTACCAGCAGGTGGTGGCCCAGGCGGACCTGCGCCGACAGAGGCTGCAGGAAGCCCTGGACCTGTACACAGTGTTTGGGGAGACAGATGCCTGTGAGCTGTGGATGGGCGAGAAGGAGAAGTGGCTGGCCCAGATGGAAATGCCAGACACCCTGGAGGACCTGGAGGTCGTGCAGCACAGGTCAGAGTGAACTCATCTTTTCCTCACCTCCCTGTACCCAGGCCTGGGCACCGTCTCCCACCTCATTTGATAATAGTCTAGTCTCTGGCCTGGGCGCCATCTCCCACCTAGTTTAGTAATAGTCTCTGGCCTGGGCACTGTCTCCCACCTAGTTTGGTAATAGTCTCTGGATCAGCAAAGGTCTTTTCAAGAGACCCTGGGATACCCTTTGTTGCAAAGTCCTGGCATTGGGAGCTAGGAGTTCTATTCTGGCTCTGTGGCCTGGGGTGCTTCACCCACTGGGGCCTTCTGTTCCTCAAAGGGAATTTATCTAGTCCAGTTATTCAGTTACTTTTCAGCTATAGCAGTCTTTGCTCAAATCAATTGTGTATGGAACCCTCATGTCACACAGAGGAAAAATGGAGCTGCTCTTAGGAGTCCCTAAGCCAGAGGACTCGGAGGGGCCACAGAGGCAGTTTGCAAACCCCCAATCTGCAAGGCCACCCTCATCCCTGGTGTTCTGATTCCGTCAGCACCTGAGATGGTGAAGTATGCCCTAGTCTACAGCATCTCAGCAGCCGAAGCACAGAATTCAGGGAGTCGAGGAGAGACCACTCTCTGGAGCAGTGCCAGGGTGGTGCTGCACTGATGCTGGAGAGTCCTGGGCTCTTGCCCTAGAAGTACCGGCCATCAGAACCACAAATTCCCCCTGAACACCACCCCAGCAGCTTTTCCTTATCTTACCCAGGAATGGTGCACCTGGCTGCAAAGGGTATCTTTTGGGTTAAGATGTCAGAGCACTGGACTCAGAGTCCAAAGGCAACAGCCGGAAGAGTAGAGGCCTGGAAGGTGGCCCCTGTGAAAATGGACACCCCCCACACACATAGGCAGTAACCTCTCTTCAGCCCTCCCTCCTCTTCATATGTCTCTGTTGAGACAGAAGCCTGTGTAGTAAGTAACTGGCTCTCTCTGGGCCTGTTCCAGGCCATGCTAACCCATGAAATCAGACCCATGAACCAGGAAAGAGGGCCAGCATATCTATCTACTTCCTCCCGCCTCACCTGGGCAAATGGTTTAGACAGAGGAAGGGGAAAGCAAGAGCTACATGCTCTGGAGACTGGGTGCCACTGGCAAGGAAGTGTCTGCTGCTGCCTCACCTATCCACATTTTCCTCTGCCTGTATCAGGTTCGACATCCTGGACCAGGAGATGAAGACTTTGATGACTCAGATTGATGGTGTGAACCTCGCTGCCAACAGCCTGGTAGAGAGTGGCCACCCACGCAGTGGGGAAGTTAAGCGGTACCAGGACCATCTGAACACCAGGTGGGGTGTGAGTAGGGCATAGGGTGGGGGACATTGTCTGTTGACACCTGACACACTGTTAGGAGCCAGGCCCAAAATTTAGGCCACCTACTATGCACTAACACTTTTGTACCCTCAACATTCCTGGCTTTGTTTTTGTTTTTGTTTGTTTTTTTGAGACTTTAGAATCTCACTCTGTTGCCCAGGCTGGAGTGCAGTAGTGCAATCTCAGCTCACTGCAACTTCCACCTCTAGGGTTCAAGCTATTCTCATGCCTCAGCCTCCCAAGTAGCTAGGATTACAGGTGTGCACTACCGTGCCAGGCTAATTTTTGTATTTTTAGTAAAGAGAGTTTCACCATGTTGGCCAGGCTGGTCTCATTCCTGGCCTCAAGCGATCTGCCCACCTTGGCCTCCCAAAGTGCTGGGATTACAGGCATGAGCCACTGCATCTGGCTAACATTCCTGTCTTTCTCAGCCTTCCTAGTAGTACTGGAGCTGTAGCAGCAAGGGGCAATGATCGAGGTGGTGAGCAGCCCACCTCGATCAGGGAGGGAGAGAGATGTGTCCTCCAAGGCTCAAGTGCTGCACCTGGGGAGGGTGTGTGCGTGTGTGTGTGTGTGTGTGTATGTGTGTGTGTGTGACAGAGGGCACATCCCTAGTGTGCCCAAACTTAATCAGGCCATATACTTCTCATGCTGTATTTCCCCCGACATTCTTGGGCAGAGAAAATTGCTTTCTGAGAGCTCTTAAGTACTGTCCATAAAATAATGCTCTTGCCTGTGCTAAATGTAGTATCAATAACGAGGCTGGCTTGAATGAAGAGGAGAATTAACAGGGAGCCTTGAGCCAGCTTTGTGGCCAGAACAAAAAACAGGCCCTGAGGAGCCTTTAGAGATGGGTGCTTTCAGTGTGGGGTGTAATTGTTCACGAGTTCCTGGAGGATCTTTGAGGACACAGCAAACGCCTGCATTCCCTGTTTTTACCCTGGGCCCTGCACAGGCAATGCCACGTGTTCACCACCTCCCCATTACCCCAGCCCTTCCCCACACTTGCGTCTGAGCCTTGCCCTGCCTGAGGCAATCTGGAAGGTGGACTTAGGGAAGACTCTGTTGTAAAGAAAGGGGTCAGCACAGTGGAGACTCCACTGGGAGGAAGGGGGTAAGGGGAGGCAGTGGTGACCAGAATTCTTTAGAGCCACTAGAATGGGTTGATTGACTTAGCAGCCCAAGCTGGAGAGTGCAGTTCAGGAGATTCCTTTGTCAATCTGATGTTTTACAAAGAAGAGAATCCCTCTTCCTTCTTCTTTCACTGTAGACTATGAGTGTGTGTGTCTTGGTGGGTAGGAGGTGGTAGAGATTATGGCAATTGCTGCATAATTGAGGAAACTAGAGCAGGTCTAAACCAGAGAAACTTCCTGAGAGGAAGAACTCATCACCTCAACAATGAACTATAGTCTGAGAATGTTGATCTTTACAGACCCCTAAAACATACCCCATCCCCAGTGAAAAATATCAAGGTAATCCTCCCATCCTTAAGTGAGAAAAACCCTGAGGCACGAGATTAAATTAAATTTGGGAGTTGAAAGGGACCTGAGAAGTCACCGTCTAGCCAGCGATGGGGAGCTCACTCCGTCACCATGCAGCCTCTCATTTTGGAGCAACTTTTTTTGGTTAAAAAGTTAGCTCTTCCATTGAGTGGAGGTCTGCCTACTTGAAATGTGTACATATTAATTCTGGCCCTGCCCTTGAGAGATATCAGACTTATCCTGATTCCTCTTCTGCATATAGCTCTTCAATTATTTTTCAGAACAGTGGTCATTCTACTCCTCCACCCCCAGTGTCACCTCGTGCCTCTGTGGTTCTCTCTCCCAGGATGCCTTTTCCCTCCCTCTACATATTCCAAATCCTGTCTCTGCCATGGGCCAGTCCAGGTCACTTGCTTTCCAGTTTTCTGGATGAAAAGCCATCTTTTCCTCCTTTGTACTGGTTTTGAGCCTTACCTCTTACCTTATCTTCTAATTATTTTTGTCCCCAAGACTTTCCTTCTAGACTATGTAAGCAAATGAAGACCTATATCTATACATGTTGCCCAAGGGCTTTGCACACCAAACACATTTTTGAGGTTCCCCCTCTTTGGAATGACACTTTCCTAGCTATGCCCTTGGATTACCCTTTATTCAGGTCTCAGCTTGCATGTCAGCTTATTGGTGTGGCCCCCAGTCACCACTCCATTGAAAGCAGCACATCCTCCCTCTCACCGACCCTCTTGGCTTCTATATTGTTACCTTCCTTTATTTTTTCTTTGCACTTATCACCACTTGATGGATTATAGACTAGTTTATGTCTGTAACCACTTGAATGAAAGCAAGGACTTTGCATTGTTCTTTAGTAATTAATTTATTTATGTTTCATAGAGACAGAATCTCACTCTGTTGCCCAGGCTGGAGTGCAGTGGCACAATTCTGGCTCACTGTAGTCTCAGCCTCCCAGCTCCACTGATTCTTCCACCTCAGCCTCCTGAGTAGCTAATGCTACAGATGCACACTACCATACCCAGCTAATTTTTTTGGTTTTTGTAGAGATGAGGTCTCACTATGTTGCCCAGGCTGAACTCCTGGGCTCAAGTGATCCTCCGGCCTCAGCCTCCAAAAGTGCTATGATTTATAGGCGTGAGCCACCACGCTCAGCCTGCATTGTTCTTTGCCATATCTCTAGTGCCTAGGTCAGTGTCTGCCACAAGGCATGTGAGAATTGTTTGATAAATGCTTAGTAAACTGGGACAAAACTAAATTTTTTCTGCCAAGCTTATGTGTGAGTCATTCAAACACTTGATGAATGTGTGATCATCTTTTACCATATGCATTCCAATTGAAGAAAAACCTGGCCCAGGACCAAACCTGGACTCTTGATGTTGCCTGACTGATGCTAACTAGAGTGGCTCTATCAGCCTCCTCCATCTCAAAGACAGTGCAGTGGAGGGGCAAGTGTGGGCTTGGGAAGCAGACTAGAACCAAGCCCCAGTGCATCTTCGTGTGGCCTCCACCCAATGGTTGCAGTGAGGCCACTCCAGGAAAGGCCTAGAAAACCACTAAGGCCTCTTGCCTGGGGACACAGCCAGACCCTCTCCCAGGAACACCTCCCTGCTGATTCCAGGGGTTCCAAACAAACTTGGAGAACACTCCTTGATTTCCCAGCCTCAGAGCACCATCTGCGTGCTGCACAGGCAAAGAATTTGCAAGAAGACCCATTCCCAGAGCAAGGGGTCTTCATGGTGTAAGATGGGAGCCAAGAAATCTTCAGGTTCTCTCTCTCCTCTCTCGTATCCCTGGTCTCTCCCAGCCTGTCTCTTATATCTCTCTGCAGACCTTTCAAATCAGACTGGCTACTATTGTCACGCCTTGGGAATGCCAACAGCACACTCTGCCCAGTCCATCTGCCTAGTCCCTTAGCCTCCATTCTCTGGGAGCAGGGGACAAAGATGAATGAGAGACTTGGTCCCATCCTTTAACTGGTCACTCCAGTGGAGGCCCTGGGGGTATGTTCACTGACTGGGGCTTTGTGTCCAGTGATGGGTTGTGTGGAGGTCACATGAGCGACTGTCACTCTGTTGCTCATTCCAGCTCCCTTAGTCCTCCCCTCTGCCTGGTAGGTGCTGTGTACATGAAACTTTATGCTATGTTATTAGCTTATCTAAATTTTTCTCTAAATCATATACCCCATAGGCAAGGTCTGGATATGTCTCTATTCTCCTAAAGGCCAGCAAATGCCTTATACCCTTGTGAGTATTCGAGAAAGATAGGTTCAATTAGAGAATGAGCAGTCAGCTTGCATATTACAGTGATGCCGAATGAGTGAACCCAGGCCTGAGGGCAGTATCCCTGGTGGTCTGGCCCAGCTGATGGGCAGCTCTTTGAGAAAGGCTTATTGTATTCTATAGAATGATCCCCAGGCCTCCAGGCATCCGCCAGACCTTAGCACATTTCTGTGTTTCATAGCCACACTTCACTTGGAGGTTAAGATGATATCACTCATTTAAATTATCATCACAGCTTATTTCTCCTCATTCTCTTCTTCCCTCTCCTCTTATCCCTCTTCTTTTTCACCAGGAGTCTTTTCTGTTAGATCCAAGGTGATCTTTTTTAGGGCCTAGGATACTTTGAATGTGGCCTTGGGCATTTACATGGTTCCTCTAGGGCAGCTGGGGACCCTATGTCCTGAAGCGTTCTTGAAGTTAATGTGAGCCTTCTAATTATTTTGATATTTCATACACTCTGGGGAAATTGCATATATTTGCCTGAAATCCAACTACACGCATAGCCTTTGCTTTCATGTTTATTTACTTATGGTGGAATCATATCACTAATTGCCCTCTGCGGATCAAAAGATCTGATTGACAGTTACATATGTCCTGAGTAAAATTGGATAAGTGAATTTTGCTCACCCACACTTTGTTAGGTGGATAATTTTTTTCTTTTTATCATACAGAGTCGGTGGGGGGAGACTTGTGGGAAATGTGAGGAGGTGTCAGGCTCTCCTATGGGAAGTTAAGGGAGAAGGTGTCTATCTCCTCCGGGCTGTGTCCCCATCCGGCAGGTGGCAGGCATTCCAGACCCTGGTGTTGAAGCGGCGGGAGGCTGTGGACTCAGCCCTCCGAGTCCACAACTACTGCGTGGATTGTGAGGAGACCAGCAAGTGGATCACAGACAAGACAAAGGTAGTGGAGTCCACAAAAGACCTGGGGCGGGACCTGGCAGGTGTCATCGCCATCCAGCGGAAGTTGTCAGGGCTTGAGCGCGATGTGGCCGCCATCCAGGCCCGTGTGGATGCCTTGGAGCGTGAGTCCCAGCAGCTGATGGACTCGCACCCTGAGCAGAAGGAGGACATTGGCCAGCGGCAAAAACACTTGGAGGAGCTGTGGCAAGGCCTACAGCAAGCCCTGCAGGGCCAGGAGGCCTCGCTGGGGGAAGCCAGCCAGCTACAGGCCTTCCTGCAGGATCTGGATGACTTCGGGGCCTGGCTCTCCATTGCCCAGAAGGCTGTGGCCTCCGAGGACATGCCGGAATCCCTCCCAGAGGCTGAGCAGCTCCTGCAGCAGCATGCAGCTATCAAGGATGAGATTGACGGGCACCAAGAGAGCTACCAGCATGTTAAAGAGTCTGGGGAGAAAGTGATCCAAGGCCAAACGGACCCAGAGTATCTGCTTTTGGGCCAGCGGCTGGAGGGCCTGGATACGGGCTGGGATGCCCTGGACAGGATGTGGGAGAGCCGCAGCCACACCCTCGCTCAGTGCCTCGGCTTCCAGGAGTTCCAGAAAGATGCCAAGCAGGCTGAAGCCATCCTCAGCAACCAGGTAGAGAGGCATTCAGGGCTGGGACAGGCGGGTCTCTCAGGGCAATAGCACTCATGGTGAGTCCACAAATGTGCTATAAGGCTCAAGGCCCACATTACTCTTGTGTTGGCCTCTGTGTTCACTCATGGGGGACATCTTTGTTTCCCATTAGGTGCATTTTCCAGCCTGGCGTCCCAAACTATGCCTTATTCTTCGGTCTTCAGAGGCTAGAGACATGCATTTTGCCCTGGATGGTTAGCCTTCCCTGTGGCTTTAGGCACACTGTTTATTGGGTGCCCTGGGGTAGGGGTAGGGTCAAGGCCTGGGGAGTAGCACCTCTGCCTTGCGCTCCTCTAGGGGGCTCATTCATACCGTGGCCTGTGTGGCTGCACGTGGTGCTCCCGCTTGGCAGGTGTGCTCATCACCTCCCCCGTGTGCCTTCATGCCTTGTCTGGAAACTTGCTCCAACAGGAATACACTCTGGCTCATTTGGAGCCCCCAGACTCCCTGGAAGCTGCAGAGGCTGGGATACGGAAGTTTGAGGATTTCTTGGTGTCTATGGAGAACAACCGGGACAAGGTCTTGAGTCCTGTGGACTCTGGAAACAAGCTGGTAGCTGAGGGAAACCTGTACTCAGACAAGATCAAGGAGAAGGTGCAGCTGATTGAGGACAGGTACTCCCGGGCCCCAGGGCCACAAGGCCTCCAGAGCCACACAGGGGTAGTGGTGCCACACAAGGACCCCACACTCAGCACTATTGTGACTGTGTCTTTGGCTTCCTTTCCAGGCACAGGAAGAATGACGAGAAGGCCCAGGAGGCCACTGTCCTACTGAGAGACAATCTGGAGCTACAGAACTTCCTCCAGAACTGCCAGGAGGTGAGACTCCAGCAAGTAGTGGCTGCTTTCCTGGAGATTCCTTTCTAGAAGCAGAGTGCCCTCGAGGCAGGAAGTCCACAGGAATCCTTTCTAGCTCAGGAGCTGTGGGATTCCATGAGCAGGGATCTCTGGATACTTCATTGGGTCATCCTCTAGAATCTTCAGTTGCACTTTTTTTTTTTTTTTTTTCAAATCTGAAAAGTCATTTTTAATCTGTCAAGTCTAGGTCAGAGTTTCCTAAGAGCAGTCTAAGGACAGTCTATTTTAGAAACACCTAGGACCTAGTCTGAGCCAGCTTCAAAGATGTGTGACCTGTGTCACACCATGTGCTTAGCTTAGAAGGGCCCTGGGCTTGGTTTAATGCTCTACTCTTGCCATCTTGAAATTCTTCATGCTTTTGAACATTTTGTACTGGGCCCTGCAAATTATGGAGCCAGTCCTGGCCCTAGTTAAAGCAGATCCCTGGATCTCACTCAGGCCAGATGAATCAGAACTTTAAGGGGCAAAACAGAGAAAGAAGCATTTTAAACAAACCTACCAGTTGGAAAACTGCTGGCTCAGAAGGTCCTTGTTCAATCTGGGGCCAGCTATATAAGGAAGGTCTTTAATCTGCCTTCCCAGCTCCTTCCATTGACAGTACTTCCTACATGGAAAGGGGTTTTCCCTGACCTCTTTCTTGTCATACCCCTTTTCTCTCAGCCCAGACAACTTTGTTTTCATCAACCTCTATCCTTGGCTTCTTCCTCAAATAACATTTTTTCCTGTGTTTATCAAGGATCTCTTACCCTACTACCAAAAGATGGATTTATCCATCTATCCAGTAAACACTCGCTGGGTTCCTAGAATATGCTAGGCCCTGTCCTAGGTCCTTGAAATCTGGAGAGAAGAGTAAAGTATCCCTGGTCTCACACCACACACACTCTAGTGGGGAAGATGCACCTGTGTCCACATTTTAGCCTTGGCCTGTCATGGGTAAAGTTGCCTGTGCTGGTGCAGAGGGATCCAGAACTGCAGATGAGTTCTCTTCTGTACTTGTACTTCCTCCCTGTGGCCTTCTCCTTCTGCAGCCAGGGATGGGCGGCAAGTACTGTCCTGCCAAAGAAATACACTCAGGGACAGTGGGGCCCACTCTTTATGCACACAGCTCACTCTCTGGATCAACGACAAGCTGCTGACATCTCAAGATGTCTCCTATGATGAAGCACGAAACCTTCACAATAAATGGCTGAAGCACCAGGCCTTTGTGGCAGAGCTGGCTTCCTATGAAGGGTGGCTAGAGAACATCGATGCGGTAAGTAAAGTGAGTGGGTGGCAGGGGGGTGCTCTGCTCAGACAAGCTTGCCTGGATGGGGCTTCACCCAGGGTGTGGACACTGTCCTGAAGCTTGCTGACAGTACAAAACGTGACAGTGAACAACTTCTCTAAATAGTAGTTAAACCTTCAGGGCTCCTGATATAGTCGGTCTTAGTATGCCTGGTCAGAATCAGTGCCTCTTCTGGGTGACCTGAATCTGGAGACAGCCCAGGACACTGAGAACATCTAGTTAGAGCTTCAGTGTCCAGCACCAGGACAGCAGTTATTAATGTTTGCTTTCCATTGCCCTCACGAGGGCTCCAGCACTGTCCTGCACAGGGCTCGAGGAATAGGCAAGATGATCAGAGTGGTCCAGGGGAGCCATTAATCCTTGACATTTGGATGGGCAGAACCACTGGGGAGTGGTTGTTTCCACTCCTTGCAGATGGCAAACCAAGGGACCCCTCTGCAGTGTGTTTGTCCTGTGGACAAGTCAAAATGTGGCTGGAATTAGATCTGGCAATCACTACCTTTGCTCCTCTCTACCATGCTGTCCATGAAAAAGTAGCCCTCGGATCAGACTGACTTCTTAACTTCCCTGTGCCTCAGTTTCTTCCTCTATGAAATGTGAATAGTAATAGGACCTTTTCAGTGGAGTTGTGAGCACTAAATTCTTAAAGACAAAGGAAGCATTCAGCATAGAATTTGACAATTATGAGACACTCAATAAATATCAACTATTAGGCCAGGTGTGGTGGCTCACGCCTGTAATCCCAGCACTTTGGGAGGCTGAGGCAGGCAGATCACTTGAGGTCAGGAGTTTGAGACCAGCCTAGCCAACATGGCAAAATCCTGTCTCTACTAAAAATACAAAAATTAGCCGGGCGTGGTGGCATGCGCCTGTAATTCTAGCTACTCCGGAGACTGAGACACAAAAGGGCTTCAACTGGAGGACAGAGGTTGCAGTGAGCCAAGATTGCACCACTACACTCCAGCCTGGGCATCAGAGGGAGACTCCATCTCAAAAAAATAAAGAAATAACTATTATTAGTGATATAGATTCCTAAGCCCAATTCATATCACACTGTACCCACCCAAAAATGATACATCCATGCAGATGAAAGCCAGACAAGGCAACCTCAGTAACTGAAGGAGGTCAGTGAAGGTTAGCGCACAACCTTGGGAACTCACAGTACCTGGATGTGTCTGGAATATTGTTTTTCACACCCGCTGACCCCTGTCTGCAGCTTCTATGCTGCAGTCTCCCTGCGTCATTGCCCCCAGTGCTGCTTCCACTACCTTCCTCAACCATGTCCAACCCTTTGAATAGGAGGACTTCTTCCTTATCTGTGGTGGTACACATTATGAAAATTATGTATGCAGAGACTTTTTTTTTTTTTTTTTTTTTTTGCTCTTCAGCTACTGTGTTAATGCATTTTAGCATTTTATGTGCGTCCTAGACAATTCTTCCAATGTGGCCCAGGGAAGCCAAAATGTTGGACACCCATGCTAAGGCTGGGGATTCAGAGTCAATTTCAGTTGAGCCTCACTCACATTCTATGAAGATTCTTTGCCTTACTGACCACCTCTTGGGTAACCTCTTGCAACCATCAGGAGCAGGGCTACTCCAAGGCCCTATCAGCCCAGAGTGTGAGCTCTCCTCTTTCTTGCCCACAGGAAGGAAAGCAGCTGATGGAGGAGAAGCCCCAGTTTGCAGCCCTAGTGTCCCAGAGGCTGAAAGCCCTGCACTTGCTCTGGGATGAGCTGCAGGCCACCACAAAGGAGAAGACCCAGCGCCTCTCAGCTGCCAGGAGCTCCGACCTGCGTTTGCAAACCCATGCTGACCTCAACAAGTGGATCAGCACCATGGAGGACCAGCTTCGGTCAGACGACCCGGGCAAGGACCTGACCAGCGTCAATCGGATGTTGGCTAAGCTGAAGGCACGTGAGCGGGTTGTAGACCCAGAGTGTTAGGATAGAAGGGATCATGGAAGCCAACCTGAACTTTTTTTTTTTTTTTATTTTAGGTTTGGGGGTAAATGTGAATGTTTGTTACATAGATAAACACATGTCATGGGGATTTGTTGCACATGTTATTACATCACCCAGGTTTTAAGCTCAGTACCCAATAATTATCTTTTCTGCTCCTCTCCCTCCTCCCAGCCTCCCCCATCAAGTACATCCCAGTGTCTATTTTTTCCTTGTGTTCTTAAGTTCTTTTCATTTAACTCCCACTTATACGTACCTCATCTGGTATTTGATTTTCTGTTCCTGTGTGAGTTTGCTAAGGATAATGGCTCCAGCTCCATGTTCCCACAAAAGACATGATCTTGTTCTTTTTTATGGCTGCATAATATTCCATGGTGTATATGTACCATATTTTCCTTATCCAGTCTGTCATTGATGGGCATTTAGGCTGAGTCCATGTTTTTGCTATTGTCAGCAGTGCTGCAGTGAACAGTTGTGTGCGTATGTCTTTATGGCAGAATGCTTTACATTCCTCTGGGTATATACCCAGTAATGGGATTACTGGGTCAAATAGTAGTTCTGCTTTTAGCTCTTTGAGGAACTGCCATACTGCTTTCCACAATGGTTAAACTAATTTACACTCCCACCAATAGTGTATAAGTATTCCCTTTTCTCTGCAGCCTTACCAGCATCTGTTATTTTTGTTTGTTTGTTTTTTAAGACAGGGTTTTACCACATTGGTCAGGCTGGTCTAGAACTCCTGACCTCAGGTGATCCACCTGCCTCAGCTTCCCAAAGTGCTGGGATTACAGGCATGAGCCACTGTGCCCAGCTTGACTTTTTAATAATAGCTATTCTGACTGGTGTGAGATGGTGTCTCACTGTGGTTGTGGTTTGCATATCTCTAGTGATCAGTGATGTTGAGCTGTATGTATATCTTCTTTTGAGAAGTGTCTGTTCATGTCCTTTGCCCACTTTTTAATGGAATTGTTTTCCTCTTGTAAATTTAAGTTTCTTATAGATGCAGGATATTAGACCTTTGTCAGATGCATAGTTTGCAAATATTTTCTCTCATTTTATAGGTTGTCTGTTTACTCTGTTGATAATTTCTTTTGCTGTGCAGAAGTTCTTTAGTTTAATTGGATCCCATTTGTCAGTTTTTGCTGTTGTTGTGATTGCTTTTGGTGTCTTTGTCATGAAACTTTGCCTGTTCCTATGTCCAGGATGATATTGCCTAGGTTGTCTTCTAGGCTTTTTATAGTTTTGGGTTTTACATTTAAGTCTTTAAGCCATCTTGAGTTTATTTTTTTATATGGTATAAGGAAGGGGTCCAGCTTCAATCTTCTGCATATGGCTAGCCAGTTCTCCCAGCACCATTTATTGAATAGGGAGTCTTTTCCTCATTGTTTGTTTTTGTCAAAAGCTTTGTCAAAGATCAGATGATGGTAGGTGTGTGGCTATTTCTGGACTCTCTATTCTGTTCCATTGGTTGATATGCCTGTTTTTGTACCAATACCACGCTGTAGCCTTGTAGTATAATTTGAATTCAGGTAATGTGATTCCTCAAGCTTTGTTGTTTTTGCTTAGGATTGCATTGGCCATTTGGGCCCTTTTTTGGTTTCATATAAATTTTTAAATAATTTTTTCCAGTTCCTTGAAGAATGTCCTTAGTAGTTTGATAGGAATAGCATTGAATCTATAAAATGCTTTAGGCAGTATAGCCATTTTAATAATATTCATTCTTCCTGTCCATTCGTATGAGATGTTTTTCCATTTGTTTGCGTCTTCTCTGATATCTTTGAATACAATAAAGTAAGCACTCCTATTCGTCCTCTTAAACGGACTTGCTTTTATCATGCAAAATGTGTTCTGGTTTCTAATCCATCTCTGACACCTTTTGCAGTGGGTAGCACAGAGACCCAAAAGGATGCATGAGAAACAAGACAAGTACTCAGTGGAGGGAAAGATGAGTGGGAAAATCAAAAGTGAGCTCAAATTGGGCCTTAAAGAATGGGTGGGAGGCAGATGAATGAAGAAGATGGAAGGGCTGTCCAGGTGCCAAGGTTGGTGCTGACACCATCCCCTTGTGTTTCAGCGAGTGGAGGACCAAGTGAATGTGCGGAAGGAGGAGCTGGGGGAGCTGTTTGCCCAGGTGCCTTCAATGGGAGAGGAGGCAGGAGACACAGACTTGAGCATCGAGAAGCGGTTCCTGGACCTCCTGGAGCCCCTGGGGAGGAGGAAGAAGCAGCTGGAATCATCCAGAGCCAAGCTGCAGATCAGCCGGGACTTAGAGGATGAGACGGTGCGTGGGCTGCAGCTCCTGCCTACCCCCTGAGGCTGAGCCACCAGCTGCCATCAGAGTAGCTGGCTGCCACCCAGAGCAATTCTTGGCAGCAGCAGACTGGTCACCTCACCCCGTATCTCAGAGGGTTGTTGTAAGGATTACATTAAATGGAAAAGTCAAGCCAGTGCTTTTGTTGGTAAATCACTTTTCACTTGCTAGTATTGCTGGTGAAGAGCATGGCCTTTGGGGTCAGACACACTTGGGTTCGAGATCCAGCTACATTACCTTCCCACTATCTGACTAGAAGCAAGTGATCTGGAACCTCAGTTCAAAATCCACAAATATTGCCATCTATAAAATGGGGGCCAAACCCTGATGGGATGTTGGGAGGGGGGAGACACTGCCAGCAAAGCTCTGCCCTGCCCATGGTGAGCACTCGGGAAAGGATAGCCGTGATTGTCATCAGCTCTCCCCTGCCTTCTGGTCTCTGCAGCTCTGGGTGGAGGAGAGGCTGCCTCTGGCCCAGTCAGCCGACTATGGCACTAACCTGCAAACTGTGCAACTGTTCATGAAGAAGAACCAGGTGAGTCCTGCCTCACCTTGCCAGCCCCACCCCCTCCTCCCTAACCCCGCCTGACCCCACGGGGTATAGGCCCAGCCCTGACCTGCAGAAAGCTAGCGACAGCAGATTATTGTTCTTGTTGGTAGCTTTGGGGTTTCCAAACCGTTTTGGCAGTCTTTTTTTTTTTTTTTTTTTTTTTTTTTTTTTTGAGACGGAGTTTCGCTCTTGTTACCCAGGCTGGAGTGCAATGGTGCGATCTCGGCTCACTGCAACCTCTGCCTCCTGGGTTCAGGCAATTCTCCTGCCTCAGCCTCCTGAGTAGCTGGGATTACAGGCATGCGCCACCATGCCCAGCTAATTTTTGTATTTTTAGTAGAGACGGGGTTTCACCATGTTGACCAGCATGGTCTCGAGCTCTTGACCTCGTGATCCACCCGCCTCGGCCTCCCAAAGTGCTGGGATTACAGGCGTGAGCCACCGCACCCAGCCATATTGGCAGTCTTATAGCAGAAAGAGCAGGTTTTGGTGATTTCAGAGCAAATTCTGGGAGGATCACAGAGGAGGGAGGAGACCTGGTACTTGGGGATTTGGGGCCATTCAGCCTCCATCAGGCACAGATGAATGTAGGATCTCGGAGGCCCTGGCCTAGGGGTTGATGTGCTTCAGGAGCTGTGTATTTAGTGTATTCAGTGGTCTGCCTGAGAATAGGGCAGTAACTCCTGGTCTCTCTCCCACAACACTACCTTGCCCCTCTTCCAGGGCTGAGCTTGGCATGTGTGGTGTCCTTGGGGTAAGTAGGCCCCATTTCTCTGGACATGTGAGGATACTTGTGGGGCTCAAATCCCATTAGGAAGCCACTAACTTTGGACTCTGAGTCCTTGGACCAGATATCCCTCTGCTTTTTGGCGCTTGCTTAAACTCCTGTGATTGGGAACTCCTGTGGCCCTGGTCAGGATCCTGGGTGTGAGCAGATGCCAAGCACTCCCTCTTGGGTCAGGGCTGCAGTGGGAGCCTGAATCATGCAAGGAAGCTGGCTGTATGGGGTCGCAGCAGCCAGGGGATGGCCACAGACCCTTCTTCGACAGTGTCCCTCCCTTTGCATGCTTTTTGGGTCAGCAAGGAGAGCCCAAGAACTTAGATCCCAGAGAATAGCGACATGTCCCAGAGGGCCCTGTCAGTATTGCAACTCCTTAGGGAAGGAAGGTCATAGCAGACAGCACTCCCTTCCCCCAAGACAGCAGCAGCTGACATCTGCTCACAACCGTTTGAGCCTGGCAGCCATGCAGAGGCCTGGATTATACTCAGAGAGGTTTCTTCAAAGCTGCCTTAGGTCCTTTGCTTCTGGTTGATACGATCTGGTCACAGAGGGGCCAGCAGCCACATGCAGGGAACCGGGCTAGAAGATGATAGAAATCTAGCCTCAGTTAATGCCGCAACCTTCAGCTAAAGGTGGAAGGCTGGTAGAAGACAGTATCCTTGGGACCTCAGTTTTCTTAATTGTAAAATAAGCCACTCTAGTCTTTCTAACGCTAAGCTTTTTGATTCTGTGCAGTCCCAATAAGTGTTATTGTTCAAAGGTTTTTAATTCTCCTGGCTGGCCATTGCTTTTTCAGGAAAAGGGCAAGACAAATATGGATGGGGTTCCCCTAACCAAGAAGGGAAAGACAGCCTCTTGGAAGAGTGTGACTGCCCTAGTGAAATTACTTTAAGCTCACCTGGCTAAAACATAAATCCAGTTTTATCATGTTCTCACTTAAAACTCTCTACTGCAATGGTTCTTAAACTCCAGTGTGCAACTCCTGTGACAAGCCCTCTGGGTGAGTTTACACAACTTAACCCGGTGCCACCCCCAGACCCACTGCATCAAGCTCTGGGGGTAGAGCCTGATAATTTGCATTTCTATCAAGATCCCAGGTGATGCTGATGCTGCTGGTTCAGGACTCCACTCTGGGACCACTGCTCTTGGGGCTATTCATTGCAATTAGAACAAATTCCACAAGGTACTACATGAAGGGTTCTCACCCCTGGCTGTATATTCAAATCACCTAGGGAACTTTTAGACAGATAAATGCCCAGGTCCCACCTCAGATCAGTCAGGATTTCTGGGGGTAGGCCTCTACCTGCATCTATTTCCCTAGATTATTAAATGGGCAATTAGGATTAAGAACCAGTCTTGGCTGGGTGCAGTGGCTCCCACCTATAATCCCAGAACTTTGGGAGGCCAAGGTGGGTAGATCACCTGAGGTCAAGAGTTTGAGACCAGCCTGGCCAACATGGTGAAACCTCACTCTACTAAAAATACAAAAATTAGCCAGGTGTGGTGGTGGGTGCCTGTAATCTCAGCTACTTGGGAGGCTGAGGCAAGAGAGTTGCTGGAACCCAGGAGGCAGAGGTTGCAGTGAGCCAAGATCACACCATTGCACTCCAACCCAGGCCAACAACAGCGCGACTCAGTCTCAAAAAAGAACCAGTCTTGCCTGATCTGGCCCCTGCCTGCCTCTGAATCTCAGCTTTTCTCACTTTGCCGTCCTTCACGGTATTCCAGCTCTTCTGGCCCTCTCCATGGCCTCAGAACGGCCCAGCTCATGTCCAGCTGAGAGCATTTGTACTTGTTCAGTCCTCTGGCCAGGAACAATCACCCCAAGATCTCTGTGTGGTTACCTCCCTCCCATGTCAAATGTCTCTGCAGAGCGGCCCTCCCTGACTCCCTTAGCTAAAGTGGCTGCCGCCACATTGCAGCAGACCTTCTTCATCCTGTTGTTTTTCCTCATAGCACCCAGGGAGGAAGGCCCAGCCTATATTTTCATTCATTTGCATGTTTACCTTCTATTTCCTCTACCAGGTTGTAAGCTTTAGAGTGCGGGGATTTTTGTTTCTTTGTTTCTATAGTGTCCCTATTACCTAGACCAGGGTCCGGTGCATAAAAAAGAACTTAATACATAGTTGTTGAATGAATGAAGATAGGTAAGAAGACATTACAGGTATGCACAGATACTAGAAAGAAAGAAATACCTTTTTAGGCTGGGCACAGTGGTTCACACTTGTAATCCCAGCACTTTGGGAGGCTGAGGCGGGTGGATCACCTGAGCCTAGGAGTTCGAGACCAGTCTGGGTAACATGGCAAAACCCCATCTCTACAAAAAATACGAAAAGTTAGCCAGATGTGGTAGTACATGCCTGTAGTCCAAGCTACTTGGGAGGCTGAGGTGAGAGAATCATCTGAGCCTGGGAAGCTGGGGCTGCAGTGGGCTATGATTGTGCCACTGTACTCAAGCCTGGGTGACTGGAGTAAGACCCTATCTAAAAAAAAAGAAAGAAATTACTTTTTAGGGCACCATGCAGAGGTCATAAGATCTCAGAGTAAAGAAGCAAATGAGGCCAGGCTTGGTGGCCCACTCCTGTAATCCTAGCACTTTGGGAGGCCGAGGTGGGTGGATTGCCTGAGTTCAGGAGTTCAGGACCAGCCTGGGCAACATGGTGAAACCCCATTTCTAAAAAAAAAAATTTTTTTAATTAAAAAAAAATTTTTTTAAAGAAGCAAATGGAGCTGAAAACATGGGTTGTTTGAATACAATTGCAGAGACTACAGGAAATTGTAAAAATTGAGATTCTGAGTATAAAGTGTAAAAATGCATTTTGGCAGGTTATGTGACTTGTGGATGTGGTTATTTTGTATATATTTTAAATGCTGGCCATCGCTGTACTGCTCACGTAGGCTGTTCTTGCCCCTTGCCATCCAGAGTTAAAGGCCACGGGAAAATTACGGAGAGGGAAGAAACAGGTAGTGAGGTATGCAGAGCTCAGGAGCCCACACACCAGCAGCAGCTAGCCTGGCCTCTAGGACGCAGAAAGCAAGTAGCACATGTCAGGGCCTCCTGAAGAAAAATGTGACCCAGCCACCAGTGTGGGAGGAAGAGGCCATGTTAGTGACCAAAGGCTCAAACAGGGACTAACGCAAAGCTCACAAAAAATTTGAGAAATAGAAGTGGGGAAAAACAAAACCAAAGCTGAGACTGTAAACAAGGGGCTGCTGTCACCTGTTCTTTTAGATGGAAGGCGAAAACCGTGCCCACCTGAGCTGCTGGTTTGTACGGATCCTGCATAAATCCTGCAAAAGCTGTAGAATAAGATATAAAAAAAGGCCATTTTTCTTTTCCTTCCAACACATACACCTAAGGAATCAAGCTCTGCTGAAGCGTAGCAAGATAGGGGACTGTCAAGAGCACAGGCTTCCGGGTCAGGTGGAGCTGTGTTCAAATCTGGCTCTGCCAGCAAGTGACTTCTCTGCTACATGCCAGTTTCCACATGCTTATCTCAGCAGGCTACCTGAGGGTACACAAATGATGCACGTGAAGTGCTTAGCAGCCCACAAGAGGTCCTTGGTAGTTCTTGTCATCATCACCGGCTCTGCTCCAATAGCAGGGGGTGAGAGGGACCAAGGGTGTCAGACCGGTGCTGTCATTGCAAAAGCAACCTTCCCTCCGGCCCCCCATGTTGGGAAGGCCCTGCCCCGAGCCCTTCCTTCTGGCCACAGACGCTGCAGAATGAGATTCTGGGCCATACGCCGCGGATTGAGGATGTGCTGCAGAGAGGGCAGCAGCTGGTGGAGGCGGCGGAGATCGACTGCCAGGACCTGGAGGAGCGCCTGGGGCACCTGCAGAGCTCCTGGGACAGGCTGCGGGAGGCAGCGGTCGGAAGGCTGCAGCGCCTGCGGGATGCCAACGAGGCACAGCAGTACTACCTGGACGCGGGAGAGGCCGAGGCCTGGATTGGCGAGCAGGAGCTCTACGTCATCTCTGATGAGACCCCCAAGGTCTGTTCAGGCATGGGGTACCAGACAGGATGCCCAGGCAGGAGGAAGAGGTGGGGTGGGCCGTCAGTGGGGAACCTTGTGCGTCCAACTGTGTGAGGGGTGAGACCGGGAGGGGGGCACGAGGAACCCACAGACTCCCTGCCATCCCTTGGTGCCTCCTCCAGCACAGCCCTGCAAGACACACACTGCAGCCAGATGCCTCCTGTTTCCCCACTGAGGTTTTCTCTGACCCAGTGGCTCTCTACTTTTCTTTGCCATGGATTCTGTACTGGTGAACTGCTATGAAAGGGATGGGGTGAGTGGTGACAGGCGGAGGTCTCTCAAAGCTGGAATGATATAGGATGTTTTCACAGGGACAGGGGTTAGGGTCTGAAGGGAAGGGTAGATGTCAAATATGAATTGAGGGAGTCCGGAGAGGAAGGGAGGGCACGGGCATTGCTGGGAAATCAGAAAAGCAGGAAGGGAATGTGTGCAGCTCTCTTGAGGGATGTCCCACAAGCCTTCTCGCCTCCTCCCTCCTTCGGGCACCTCCAGGAGCTGGGCCACAACTTGCCAAGGGAGGGAGCATGGCCGGGCTGAGCTCTGGTGCTGATGGTCTGCTGCCTCCTAGGATGAAGAGGGTGCCATCGTGATGCTGAAGCGGCATCTGCGGCAGCAGCGCGCGGTAGAGGACTACGGCCGTAACATCAAGCAGCTGGCCAGCCGGGCCCAGGGCCTGCTGTCTGCAGGCCACCCTGAGGGGTGCGTGTGCCCCCTTGGGAGACTTGGTCAGGAGATGGGCATCGAGCCAGGGGCCCACCAGCCAATGTCCCTTCAGATCTAAGAGGAAAATGGAAATAGTTTTCCCAAAAAATAGGGCTGGAGAAAGCTGCTGCGGGACTGGTGATCGACCCAATTTCATTTTATGCCTTGGTTTTGTGTGAGTCACCTCCAGCTGGGCCAATGAGGGCCTGGTTTGCAAAAAGATCAGAGAAGGGGATAGCAAAACTACCCTGTTCGTGCCCAGAGAGCACCGATTTTCCGAAGAGTTACGATATGCTAAGGACACTGCAGACTACTTTAGCTTTTCTTTTTATGGTCCAGAAGATCTCCAGGACTTCACAGTCCAGGCAGAACCATGACGTTGGAGTGCAGGGGGAAACCTGTGCCCACCCGGGCTTCGAGGTTGTGTGGATCCTGTATAAATAGGAGCCCACTGAGCCACAGACCATACACTGCCCCCAGCCACGGCCCTGGCCTCAGCTGCCATTAGGGTACCTACCACTGTGGGTCCCCGAACATTTCCCTGGGAGCCACAGGGTCTGGGTCCCTAGTATGGCCTGTCCCTCTCTGGAGGGCTGAGCAGAACTGTTGCGGCAGGAGCCCCACTCAGGCAATGCTGCTCCCCCAGCTTCCCTGGAAGAACAATGGAGGTGTCCCCATTTGCGCTTTTCCCTGTACGCTTGCTAGAGTGAGGGGCACCACAGGAGGCACCCCTCCAGGACAGAACCCCAAGACACACTGTGTCATACCCTGTGGCTAGGGTGTGGCCCCTTCTCTTCCCAGCTCTTCCACTGGCAAAGCCCCTGTCATTTCTCCAGAGCTTCACTCCCTACCTATCCCTGCCAGGAGGCTGGAGAGGCCTAGGTCAGCTCTGGGTTTGTGGCTGCCATCTCTGAGGGCTTTCTTGGTTTTGAATTCCAGGGAACAGATCATCAGGCTTCAGGGGCAAGTGGACAAGCACTATGCAGGGCTGAAGGACATGGCAGAAGAACGCAAGCGCAAGCTGGAGAACATGTACCACCTGTTCCAGCTCAAGCGTGAGACTGACGATCTAGAGCAGTGGATTTCGGGAAAGGAGCTGGTGGCCTCTTCCCCAGAAATGGGGCAAGACTTTGACCATGTGACTGTGAGTAGCCACAGCTCCTGCTGTCTTTGTCTTTCTGTAATGCAGTAGATACAGCCAGCTCTCACTCTAGACACACAGAAAGCTGTGCAGGATGCGGCCTCCCCGGCGTGAGCCAGGACCAGCGGCCCTGCCCTGGAGAAGGTGTGAGAGCGCAGCTCCCGGTGCTGAGGTCACTGCCTAGGAAAGTCTGCAACTAGGCTGGTGACACCTGTAACCCCTGTGCCCCCCATAACCACATTTCTGTCTGCCCCATATCCAGCTGCTGCGAGACAAGTTCCGGGACTTTGCCCGGGAGACCGGAGCAATTGGGCAGGAGCGGGTGGACAACGTGAATGCCTTCATTGAGCGACTCATCGATGCAGGCCACAGCGAGGCCGCCACCATCGCCGAGTGGAAAGACGGGCTAAACGAGATGTGGGCGGACCTGCTGGAGCTCATCGACACGCGCATGCAGCTGCTGGCCGCCTCCTATGACCTGCACCGCTACTTCTACACGGGCGCCGAGATCCTGGGCCTCATCGACGAGAAGCACCGTGAGCTGCCAGAGGATGTGGGGCTGGACGCCAGCACGGCCGAGTCCTTCCACCGGGTGCACACGGCCTTCGAGCGGGAGCTCCACCTGCTGGGCGTCCAGGTACCTCAGCCCCCTGCTACCAACTTCCAGGAGCCCTGAGTGTCGGTCCCCACGTGGCTGTCAGTGGGGAAACCTCTAGGATGGGTGCCAGGAGGTGTTGCCTCCTTTGAGAGCCAGGAGCTCAGGGTAGGGAGCAGTGACTTTCAGATGTTCCTTAGCTTTAAAAGTCATTCTTTAAACTGAATCCTCACAAAAGGCCAGTGCATACAATACTATACGGTAGTTTCTCCAGTTGTCCAGTATTACTAGTGAACACATGCACAGCACTTTTCTAGCACCGTGTACTGTTCTGAGCAATGTATGTAGCCACTGAACCCTCATGGCCATCCTGTGAGGCAGCTACTAATGAGAAGAGTAAGGGCTAGAGGGCCCATGCATTTCCCAGGAACATGTGGGTACACAGTGGAGCCAGGGCTCAGACCCTGGAGCCAGGGCTCAGACCCTGGCAGTCTAGCTATAGACCCCACACACTTAGCCACCAGGCACTTCAGCCTTTCTACATGGGAGCTTGAGAGCGCCCAATTTCTACTGCTCAGACCCCTGCCCCATCCCTGGAGTGCCATCTGCAGACCCCTAGAGTCTCCCAGAGCTTGGTGTGATGGAAAGGGCAAATGCAAGGGGGCCCCTGTTGCTGTGGGCTCCCCTAGCTTCCAGTGCAGCAGCGGGAGGTGCGCTGGCTGTACAATCTTAGGCCAGCCCAGCAGGATTTGGGGACAGAACACCAGGGTAGGCTGAGCCCCTAGTTCGTCCAAAAGGAGACCTCTTAGGGATGTTTCCTCCAGCTGGAGTGGAAGGCCTGATGTGTGTGGCTATTGTACTTGGGGATGCCAGGGCCCCTGAGATAGTTGTAGCCCCACTGAGATCTTAGGAGTGAGGTTTCACTGTCCCTGGGGCCAGCCTCAATCAGGGGATCCGGTGCAGCCCCTTCATTAGAGAGGCAGCACACAGACTGGTTAAGAATGGGGACTTGGGAGCATGGTGTAGTGTGAGGGACCCTGGACCAGTTACTTAGCTTCCCTGTGCTTCAGTTTTCCCATCTCAGAAACAGCAATAGCAATAGTACCTTCATGGGGTTGTTGGAAAGATGAAGAGAGTTCATCAATACAAAGTGTTTAGAACGGTGCCTGGTATGTAGTTCCTCTCATTAATATACTGTTGAGATCAAAGGGCATGGAGCTCCTCTCACTCCCAAACCTTCACAAATTTCAAACGGTATCTTGGGTAACAGAGGTGTCAAAGCAAGGAGGCTTCTCCTACAGCACCCCCTGGGTGAAGGCTGAAGATCCTACCTTCCAGCAGTACCCTAGGCATGGAGGCCAGGAGGAGGTTGCTGCCTCTCCAGTCCTAGGCCCATAGCACCTAGGGAGCAATGTCCAGGGAACAATGTCTGGTGTCGCCTGACCACAGGTACAGCAGTTCCAGGACGTGGCCACCCGCCTGCAGACAGCGTATGCTGGGGAGAAGGCAGAGGCCATCCAGAACAAGGAGCAGGAGGTGTCTGCTGCATGGCAGGCGCTGCTTGATGCCTGTGCCGGGCGCCGGACCCAGCTAGTGGACACGGCGGATAAATTCCGCTTCTTCAGCATGGCCCGTGACCTCCTCTCCTGGATGGAGAGCATCATCCGGCAGATTGAGACCCAGGAGAGGCCCAGGTGAGGGGAGTGGCCTCAAGGCAGAGGCAGTTCCACCCCAGGGCAGGTGAGCCTGGCCAACCAGGGTGCTGCGCTCGGGCTCCTCCCTGGAGAGACAGCCCTGGACTACTGGTCCGTCAAAATCCCTGGGGGACACTTGAGGCCTGAGGCTGGACCCAGGCAGAAATGGCCTGGCTCAGCTTCCACTGCGAGGTTTCAGTCAGGAGAGTCCTGAGTGTAGGGAGAGAGACATCTGTCATTCAAGGTCACCAATGGGCACAGTGACCATGCTTATCAGTGAAAATAAGCAACCCATCTGTCTAGAGCTGGGCAGGTCTAAGACTGCACATTCTTCTTCCAGCCCTGGGATGTGAGGGGGGCCTTCCCCCAAAACTCAGGAAGGAGTTCATTGTCCATGAGAGGAGGAGTTGGGCACGTGGCCAGTGAGAGCCCCTGCAGAGATCAGACCACTCTGCCCAGTCTGTGTCACTTCATCAGTTATTGCTGATCTGTCTCCGTCGTTCTGCCCCTAGGGTGTCTGTCCTGATGGTCATACTTTTACTTTTAACATCCTTATGGAGATACAATCAACATACCACACTTCAATCATTTAGAGTGTGTCATTCAATGGTTTTTAGTATATTCACTGTAACACAGTGATCCCCACAATGTAAGGTGAGAAGATTTTCATCACTCCATCCCTATTAGCAGTCACTACCCACTCCCCTGTCTCTCCAGTCCCTGGAAACCACTACTCGACTTTCTGTCTCTCTAGATTTGCCTATTCTGGACATTTCATGTAAATGGAATCATACAATATGCGGTCTTTTTTGACTGGCTTCTTTCCCTTAGTATAATGTTTTCAAGATGCATCCACGTCATAGCATCAATCCTTTTTATTGCCGGGTAATATTCCCAGGCTTCTTTGGAGGTTTCTGAGTACACTGGCTTGCCCATGCTCTGGCCACTGAGCAATGGAAGACATAGGGCATCTGTGTTCCTGCTGGGGCCGTGCTGGTGGAAGACTTCCAAGCTGGCCAAAGAGAGAGAAGGGAACAGGGTCAGACTCCCACAGGCAGGCGGAGGTGGCCCCCGCTGTTTGGGACACAGAAGCAGTCCAGAGTGACCCAAAGTTCCCTTCTTCCCTTGTCTTCCTGTCCCCCAGGGATGTCTCCTCTGTGGAATTGCTCATGAAGTATCACCAGGGCATCAATGCAGAGATTGAAACCCGGAGCAAGAACTTCAGTGCCTGCCTGGAGCTTGGCGAGTCCCTGCTGCAGCGGCAGCACCAGGCCTCAGAGGAGGTGAGGGGACTGCAGGGATGGAGGCGAGCCCCTCCATTTCCGTCTCTACTTGTGCCAGCCAGGCAGCCTCCTGGGAGGGAGCTGGGTCTGCTGCTTTTCTGAGGAGCTTGTCTTGCTCTTTCTCATGGAGGTCGGGGCTACACACAGGCCCGGGGATTGGAGCCCCAGCAAGCACACTCCCTGCCTTAAGGAACTGGTCACTCAGTAGAGGAGAGCAGGTTCATAACCTGCCTAACACCCACAGGTGTACACACTTTGGAGTTGGTGATCTCATTTAATAAGAGAGGCACATAGGCCTAAGAGAGGTTAAGTAACTTGCCCCAGGCTGCACAGCTGGCAAGTAGCTGGGCCAGGACTGTGGGACCAAACCTGGCATTCCTTGCAGGACGCATCTGCACACTGCCTCAGATGGGGAAGAGTGAGCCAACCCTGAGCTTTTCTCCCTTTCCTCCCCATAGATCCGTGAGAAACTGCAGCAGGTGGTGTCCAGGAGGAAAGAGATGAATGAGAGGTGGGAGGCTCGCTGGGAGCGGCTCCGGATGTGTGAGTACAGCCCCAGAGCCAGGGAGGGGGGCAGGAATACCCCCACTGGAGTAGGTGAATGGGGAGGTGCCACCATGGGTGGATTTTCACTACTGCCTAGAGAGGAGCCCCCCACAGCACCACTCTTCAGCAAAGCTCTGGGGCCAGGGGCCTCAGCGGTCCAGGCAGAAGACCCAAGTGGACACGCTGCTGCAAGCCTCACTCTAACCAGCCAGCATGCCCCCACTCCCTGCCCATCCTCTGTCCCATATGCCCCCAGCCTCATGCCCGGGCTGGTATGCCTGCAGAGGTATGGCCTGGGGGTGGGGTTGGGGTAAGGCTCTTGTACATCCCAGACATTCATCCTGAGGACTGTCAAGCACAGATGGGACTCTTCCCCCTTCATCTGGGTGCTGAAGAGAGGTGGGGGAAAGCCACCACTCAGGGAGGAGCTGTGAGCCAAGAAGCCCTAACTGGTCCCCTGGCCTCTTCTCCACCATCATGTGAAATAGCCAAGGGCTGGGAAGAATGTTCAAGGCAGAAGGCTCCTTCTCAGAGACATCGAAACTACATTTTGTTTTCAAAATAGAGTTCTAATTAGTGAAAAATATAGTTTAAAAAATATAACTATTGGGTCAGACATGGTGGGTGACATCTATAATCCCAGCACTTTGGGAGGTCGAGACAGGAGGATTGCTTGGGCTCAGGAGTTTGAGACCAGCCTGGGCAACACAGGGAGACCCTGACTCTACGACAACAAAATAATCAGCTGGGCATGCTGGTGCGCACCTATAGTCCCAGCCACATGGGAGGCTGAGATGGGAAGACCACTGGATCCCGGGAGGCTGAGGCTGCCATGAGCCATAATCACTGCACTCCAGCCTGAGTGAAAGATTGAAGCCTTGGCTCTAAAAAATATAACTATTGTGGGCTGGGCATGGTGGGTCATGCCTGTAATCCCAGCACTTTGGGAGCCCAAGGTGGGTGGATCACGAGGTCAGGAGTTCAAGACCAGCCTGGCCAACAGTGAAATACTGTCTCTACTAAAAATACAAAAATTAGCTGGGCATGGTGTTGGGCGCCTGTAATCCCAGCTACTTGGGAAGCTGAGGCAAGAGAATCATTTGAAACTGGGAGGTGGAGGTTGCGGTGAGCCGAGATTGCACCGTTGCACTCTAGCCTGAGCAAGAGGGTGAGACTCCATCCCAAAAAAAAAAAAAAAAAAAAAAAAACTATTATGAAGATGGGTTAGGAGCCCAGTGTGGAATGGGGTGGCTGTGGGGAGCAGAGTATCCCTGTGGTTTAGGGACACCTATGCAGGCCAGCTGCCTGACCACTGGCTCCTGTGTCTGTCTGCTGAACCTGCCCCAGTCCCTGGCAGGAGTGGATGGCTGGGTGCTAACAGGCCCTGGGCCTTTTGGGGGGGTCTGTGTCCTGTTCCCCCTGGCAGTGCTGGAGGTGTGCCAGTTCTCGAGGGATGCCTCTGTGGCCGAGGCGTGGCTGATTGCCCAGGAGCCCTACCTGGCCAGTGGGGACTTTGGACACACAGTGGACAGTGTGGAGAAGCTCATCAAGAGGCATGAGGCTTTTGAGAAGTCCACGGCCAGCTGGGCAGAGCGCTTTGCTGCCCTGGAGAAGCCCACCACGGTGAGCAGGGAACAGTTCCAGGGCACTCAGAGGGTGGCAGCCCTGCCCCAGGGGTCTCATGCCAAGAACTCCAGGCCAGTTGTTAGGTACCTAGAATGGGGTGACAGGCTTGGCCAGCAGGGACAGTGAGAAGGAAAGAAGTGGCAGGAAGTACTGACCTCCAAATGCAAAAGACAGAAGGGGCTGGCTCCAGAAGGAACAAAATGCCAGGACGTGTGACGGTGCGGGGCCACGTCCAGAGGCAGGTCATCTGAGAACACAGCTCACCTCTGTGGCTGCTCTGACCCCTGGGCCTTCTCCTCCTCTAGCTTGAGCTGAAAGAACGCCAGATGGCAGAGAGACCTGCAGAGGAGACTGGGTGAGTGGTGGCCGTCTGTCCAGGGAGCTGAGTGCTCTGCCAAGCGGGGTAGGGGTGTCTTTCATCAGAAATGTGATGCTGGGACAAGACGCCTTTGACCTCTCACACTGGGCGCCCTTGTCAGGGAGGCCCAGAGTGCCTGAGCACGAGGGCAGAGGAGCTTTTGCTTCCCCAGTCCAGGTGGGCTGAAGGCCTGCTGCGGGAGGAGGGGGCTGAGAGCAGTGGCTGCCAGGCGAGACCTTGGAGCCACCCGAACACAGGGCCCCGCAGGCCGTTGTGCCTGGAACCTGGCAGACTTCCGAAGAGTCTGCCTTCGCTTTTCCAAAGACGTCTCTGGGCGGCTCCTTGCCGAGCACCCTCCAAGCTGCAGGCGGACTGGTGAGAAGCCAGGCCTTGCAGGAGGCGCTGGCCTCAGGGGGGTGCTTGTTTTTAAGGAGACTGTGTCTTCCTTAGGCTTCAAGAGGAGGAAGGCGAGACAGCAGGGGAGGCTCCGGTTTCCCACCAAGCGGCCACCGAGAGAACGTCCCCGGTCAGTCTCTGGTCCCGTTTGTCTAGTTCCTGGGAGTCACTGCAGCCAGAGCCCTCTCACCCCTACTAGGCTCGGCCTGGGCGAGCGGGAGGCCAGAAAAGCAGGCGCAGCCCCGCCCTCCGTCCCGCCCACACCCCGTAGCCCCGCCCTCAGAGCGGGCTACTTTCCACTCAGGTGTTCTCCATCAGAGTCCCAGCCCTCCCCTACCCCCATCAGCGCGGACGAAACACACAGGCCAGTCCAGTGACATGACTTCATTAGTTGGGTTTTATCTAATGGAATAAATTTTATTGTATAAATATATCAGCACTTACATGGGGAAACACTTTATCCAGAAATTAGTGCCTTTTTGTACACAGTCCTTTTCCCCATTTTCCTAACTCCTTCCTCTAGGCAGCACTGACCCCCTGCACCGACACCTACACACACATGCACACACATACCACACACCCCATACACACACCTGACATACACCCCCACACACTTATACACACACCTATACACACATGCACACACAAATACACTCACAAATACAAACCACACTCCATATGCAAATCCACACCCCCCCCACAGACACACACACGAACACACACCACACCCCATACACACATCCACACACACACGAACACCCACATGCACACACTCCACAACCTCTATACACAGGCACACACACCCCCATACACACACCCACACTCACACCAGACACGCCACTCGCTGTCCCTTCCCACTCGCCTCCCTGCAGGCATCTCAGGTGCTCATCCTGGTAGGTGATTCCTTCCTCCTATGCAGAGCCCTCTCCCTTTCCCACTGACCTGGCCTGAGGCCTGTGGGTCAGTGAGTCTGGATATTGAGCTGGTTCTGGGGAAAACACAGGCTTGAAGGAAGCCTGCAAAAGTGAGGAGAATCCCAGGGCTTTAAGTAACAGAGGTCAGCCCCTCAACCTGTAGGAAAGGAGATGAGCCAGAGGCCTGGCTGAAGGGACAGGAAGAGGCCCAAGACAGCAGCTGTCAGAGGCCGAGGGCATGTGCCTCAGGGCCTTCCCTGGAGCAGGCCCCTTCGACCCCGTGGGATCTGTGCAGGGAGGGGCAGGTGGGCCGGCAGGCTGTGTCACCCAGGCTTAGGGAACTGCTCTGGGGAGAAGCTGACTGGGAAGAAAGCAAGAATCCACCACACGGCTTGCATGGCTTCCCTCTGCATGTACCCACTGGGGCAGGCTGTACTGGGGGTCAAGGGAGCCATGGGTGCTTCCTGCAGCCCACCTCTCCCGGTGCCAGTCGAGCCGGCGTGAACCTGGGGGTGGGGTTAGGAAGACAGGCATTCTAGATGGAAGCTTCTGGCACAGCAGTCACCCCCAGAAACATGTACAGTGAGTCCTCCCTTTTTCAGCCCTTCTCACGCTCTGAAAGAGAGCGACACCTCCCTACACACACGCACGCACGCAAACACACACACCTCTGTGGCCTCCAGCCTGGCTAGAGGCCTCCTTTTCCTAGCTGCACCAGCCCACCATGCCCAGCAGAGGGCACTGCTGGGCTTCTGCTGAAGGGTCTCTCCCAAAAGTTCCCTCCCAGGCTTCCCTTGTGGCCTGTGGGGTCTCACCTCCCTGTCTGTGGTGGACTGTGTCCAAGCCCCTTTTCCCCAGCAACAGCCCCTGCTGGAAGGAGAGCCAACTCTGGGGCCCCGGCACAGACTGTGGACACTGGCTGGGGCCGTCGCGGCGCCCTGCCCCTGCCTGCTTCTGCCGAGCATCCCTGTGTGTCTGCATGCGGCGGTGTCCTGGTGTGTCAGCTCCTCTGTGAGCACCTGGGCAACTCCACCCATTGTCTATGTCATGTGTGTCTGTGCAAATGTAACTACTTGTGCATCAGAGCCGCCTCCAGCCAACTCCTGAATGTCAATGGGTGGAGGGGAATAAAACCTGTTTGGACCTGATGATCTCTTTGGGGGAAGGAGGAGTGAGCCACATTGGAGACCCTTTCCAGAGAGCCAGCCACTCCAGTAGATGGGAAGACTGGCCTGTGCCCAGTACCGGAAAGAAACCAGATGGTGACTCAAATGGACACCAGACCCAAGGCCTCATGCACACATTTCCTGCTGCTCCTCTCTTCTGAGCCCTTTGTTAAGTTCTTACAGGGATCCACAAACCTCAGAAGGAGGGCCCAATACCCCATCTGCCTTCCATGCAACACAGAGGAGGACAGAGCCTGTCGGGACACCCGACCTGGCTCTAGAAGCCTTCTTGAAAGGCCAGCAGCCAGTCCCTGCAGCCTGCCTGGGACTAGCCCCTTCACAGAACTGCAGGCCTCTCCCAGGGAGGGATGGCCAACGGCTGTGCCTTCCCTCTGGGATAGGCCTGGGGGACGGTGGCTCTCCTGCTAGCACTCTGTGTGTGCTCTGGTGTCGGTGCCTTATAGAATAGATCCATGCGGTGTTGCTTCATGTACCACCCCTCACTGTGCATGTCGGCTTCCTGCTGGGGGGAACTGATGGGAGTGGACCAGGCACTCCTGCCTGAGTCTGGACAGCTGCACACCACAGGGTGCCACACACCCCAGTACTCCCCTTCCCTGCGTGCCCCACACATCAGCCTCTTCCTCGAGCACATGGCTGCACGGTCCCACTGCCTTTCCTCACCTCTTGCATTTTCATGTTAGAGCATGCTCTGGTAAAGGCCAATCCATTCATACAGGTAAGTGCATGGGAGGCCAGGCAGAAGAAACAAGACCTCACTCACAAGAGACAAAACTGCTGGAGGGGAGTCAGGACATCTCGGTTCTAGTCCTCAATCCTGGTGGAAACTTCCTGCATGATTTTAGATAAACCACTGAATCCCCCATCTCCAAGCCCCAATCTCTGAGCTCTTAGAAAGCCCTCTCTGGAGAATTCCCAAAAGTTTGGAACATGCCTGGATGTCAGCAATTTAGCAAATTATAATGAGGGGCTGGGAGACGTGGTTTTCACCACTTTCCTCTTGCTTCGTGCTTCTTGCTGTGGTACCTGGATGGTCTCAGGTGCCCGACGGTGTGGGATGGGAGATGGGAAAGAAGTAAAGAGCTGGGGTGTTTGCCTGTGTCCACGTCGGGGAGTAGAGGCGGGGCTGCACCTCTGCTTCGGGAAGGATAGTGCCTGAAGAAGGCCCAGGGAGCCCTCGGCAGTGGGCAGGTGCAGTGGGCAGGCAGCCCTGCCCGAGACTAAGCACCTCTGTTTCACCTGGGGCTGTGGCCCTGGGAAGGACTTGGAGGTCCTGCTGAGAATCCCCCACCTCCCGGGCTCTGGGTGCCTCAGCAACCCCAGTCCACAGCCCTGTGCACCTTCCTGTCCGCTGTGCCTGATTCCAGTTTTGGGAAGTGAATCGGGAACTGCTCCGAGAGCTCTCTTAGCAGGGCTGCAGTGACAACATGCATGACTTCCCTGAAAGGGATTGGTGCTCCTAATCACCTTTGCTGGGGCTCACTGTGTGGGATAAACATACCTTGCCAGCCTCCAAGCCCCAAGGCTAGATCCAGGCTGGAGTGCAGAGGGGACCCTGGGATGCCAGCCCACTCCAGAAAGCAGCTGCCGGGTGCTCCTCCTTATCAGCCTTCTCATCAGGAAGTCAGGGAAAGCTCTCTTCCCCAAGGGCACCTCACAGATGTCATTCTTTCCCGCGGCCTTCCAGCACTGCCTGTGCAGCCAGCTGCCCTGGAGAAAGGGACTGAGCATCTCCTCAGGGCTAAACACGGGAGCTGAGACTCCTAGGTCCCTTGCCTCTCCATTTCCATAGAATTAAAGGTTTATGTGGCTTCAGGGAAGTAACCAGCACTTACAAACATCAGGGCAAGTGCCGAGGGGCTGAGCAGGCACTGGACTTGCAGCCAGGACCACCTCTTGGCTGGTGTCTGGCTGGCTCCAGCTGCTGTTCCACCTTGGCAACCTGGGCACCTCCCCCAGCAGCAGCCTCCCTGGCAGGCAGCCGGGAGCTTTCATCAGCGGCCAGCGGCGGGGCTCTGATGTCCTTGGATGGAAGGGATGTGGGTGTGGAGACAGCAGCTGTGTTTCTTCTCGCCTGAACAAGCTCTCCCAGTTTTTCCTACTCTTCCTGCTACTCTTTCAGACATTTTGCGGCGAATGCAAATCCTATGCTTGTTAATGGGCAGACACAGCTGGAAACAATGTCAGTTTTCCCCAAAACCTGGGCGTGTCCCTGTCTACCCAGGATGCCTGAGTCAGCACGGCAGGGGTGTGTCTGCCTGCACACTGGCACTGCGCCTAGCTCCCTGGAGAAACCTGCTGTAGGCTCTGTCTGGACACCTGCCTGCTTCTGGCCATGTCCCTTTCTCTTTGCTGTGGTCAGATTGAATACTCCTGGCCCCTCTGCTCTGAAGACTCTGAGTTCTCCCTCTAAAGTTGTGTTGCAGAGCATCCTAGATACTGATGGTCTCCGGATGAGACTCAGTTAACTTTGGAGGCATCTCAGAAATGGGTTTGAAGTGGATGACGTGACCACTGGGTAGCAGATCTGGATGGGGGAGTCAGCGTCTTCTAACTCTCTCTAGTCTTTCTAATGCTGAGTGGCTGGCTCAGGGCCACCGAGCGACTAAGCAGCCAGCAGCTCCTCCAGGCCAGGGACCTGAAGAGGCCACAAAGGTGGTAGGCACAGTGAAGACAGCTCCCGAGCAAGCCTCCTTCTCTCCTCATGCCCTGGTGACCCTGGACCAGGTTTCTCCTTTCCATCCGAGGGGACCCTGCACACTGCTATTCTCCTTCCCTTCCATTCACTTCACTGGGTGGCCTTCTGCCCTGCATCCTTTCCTGTTGTCTTGCCCAGCCCCCTAGTTGCCGTCTCGGACAGACAGCTGGACTCTCGGGTGCAGTGTTGCACTGCTTCCCTATTCCACTTCTCATAAGAGCCCCTCCCCATCCCTCAGCCTTCAAACCAGGGCACCATGCATCCCAGCCTCAGCTCCCCACCCTGCTCTTTCCCCCTGTTCAGCAACAGCGTCTGCTTTCTCCTTAAAGGC